AAAAAAAAAAAAAAAAGACAAAAAAGAGAAAACGCGGGGTAAACGCGGTAGCTCGTCGAAATCATAACAATACGAAAACTCTCTCGCGTCGAGTCTTTCTAAAGCGCCCCAACAATAGCGTTCCTCCTCGCACCTACCGATCCTTTGTATCGCGTATCGCCTTCTCATCCGCGCGCCTCACCTTGTTTCCGCCCGTCTTATACGCCAAGCGCCCAATCGACAAGGCTTTGCAACTTTCGCATTTGCGATTCACCATGTCTAAACAACCGTCGCCGCCCGAGTCTCAACAGCACGACGGAAGCCTCCTCCACGATGAAACAGTTTGTAGTGTCGATGGCGCAGTAGAGTAGAACTCTAGTTGCGCCGAAGCAACCCTCCAAGCGACCGACGCTCCACACTCTCCCGTGTTTATTGTCCAGTCTCCTGTCACCACTCCTCCTACTCCACCGAACACCACTATTGCAAGCCCAGCTTCCGACCACAAACCCTCCTCCGAGGAGACGCTTGAGGGTGCATCTCAAGACCTCAAAGAGTACCTACGCGAGCAAGTCAGCAGTCCTACCGATGTGGAAGTCGCAGACTCTGAACTCCTCGACCTTGTTACAAATGACTCCTCGGACGATGATACCCCCGAGCCTACTACCGAGAAGCAGGCGGGCAAGCGAACGTACGATGCCTTCTGCAACCCCGTCAAGATTCGACAGCAGCTCGAGAATAAGGAGTGGCTGAATGACGAGGCTATCGAGTCTCTCGCCAAGCTTCTTCCCGCCTACCACACCATGAAGGTCTTCAACCCGGGCTACATCAAGTTCTCGCGGCCTACTCTCGCCCGACCCCCTCCCAAGCTCACCACTGGCACCGTCATCATGCCGCTGAACCACGACAATACACATTGGACGGTGGCCAAGGTTGACATCGACAGGAAGCAGGTGCAGTAGTACAATCCTCTTCCGTCTCCCCGCAACCGCAAGGACGCGAAACGCCTTGCTACTTGGTTCGACTCGAGCGCTGAAGCCTTCGCTTTCACAGAAGTGGTATGTCTCTCGCCTCTGTCCTGTTGGCATTTAATTACTCGTGCTTTTTACTGACTGCAATCTGTTTATAGTCTGGACCCGAACAGGAAGATGGCAGCTCCTGCGGCGTCTTTGTTCTAGCAGCAATCGACAACTGGCTGCAAGGCCGTGACCTACCCTCCTCATTCGAAACCCCAAGCGTCGCTCTCCTCTCTCTCCTCGATGCCGATGGCTGCTCCTCCCCGACTACTTCCCCCGCAAAGCGACGCCGAGAGTCCCCCGAAGGAACATTTACCATGGCCTCGACGCTTGATGAGATGCTCTCCTGTATCCAGCACATCACCGCCACACTTCCAGCCCAACTTGCTGAACAGCCTCGCTCCACGGTGGAAGACGCCACCAAGGCCCTGAGCGACAGCGAGGAGAAGCAAAAAGCGCTCGAGGTCGATCTCCAACAGCACCAAGACTACATCCAGGATGTGATGGTCTACCAACGAGCTCATGCCTACTGGTCTGAGCAGGTCCTCGAATCCCCTGGCCCGACTTGCGAGGGTTTTGACGATCGCCGCAGTCTCAATATATCAGGCATGACCGATACCGTTGTTGACTTGGTCCACAAACAGCTTCGATGTCTATCGCCCAATGGCGAGGACGAAGCTGATCTACCCAGTCTTCGGGTCCGCGAGGCTGAAATGCTGGCATTGGTTGAGGAGGTCAAGAAGGAGATTCAGCAAGCCAATGAGAGACTTGCGACTGAGCAGAAGCTGTCTGCCACTGTTGAGGTAGGGAAGCGGCTGATTGGCATAGCTTCGATATGAGTAGTACTTGTCTTTCATATGTCTGGAGTGTTTCTGTACATACACCAGCCGGCGAGCTGAAGAGAGGTCTTTGAGGGAAGTATTGGCTTTGTTTCTATGTATGAGTCTATCTGGATATCTATGATCAACGAGACGGGACAGCAATGCATGGACACAATTGGTAACGCTGTCAGTGGACCTTGACTACGGGTAGACAACCATACCCCAATGAACAACACACTGTGATCCGGCCTTGCGCAAGCTATCTCTTGTACTCGTTTGAATTGAATCAGAATCTAAGTTCGACTTGATGGTCCTCACTTCATGATCGATCATTCGTGCACTGTTGGCGGTTTGATCTTGCTGCTGGGCGGGTTCAATTAGCATGGATGAGAGCGGTTAGTTATCTGATAAGAAACTTTCAGCGCGGGGTATGAACCCACCACTTTAGAATTAATTGACAGTGAATTGACTTTCTCATGCAGAAGAGGCTGCCACATGTTGGCCAGTGACAAATATGACCTCATGTCTTCAGCATCAAGAGGCCGCCCGGCTCTTTAGTCATCTCCCAATTGAACTTCTCGACCAAATCATATCCAGCCTATCCAATCAATCCATCAAGAATCTACGCCAGACATGCACTTTCTTGTCCAAAGTCGCTCAGCTTCGTTTTGACCGCCTATTCCTCTCTACTAACCCACGCGACATCGAGGTTTTCACGACTATCGCACAAGACGATAAATTGAGACTGGGCGTTCGAGAAATTATTTATGATGATGCGCGTTTCTGGGATGAATACGCGACTGGGCCGCAAGATCATGGTTCTCAGTCTGCCATAGGAGTCCCCCATTGGTATCAGCATTTGTACGAGGAAGAGCTCAAGAAGGCCAGAGAGATCTTGGTAAAAGACACTGGGACTCTTGCTCACATCGAGATTTCGGACGATTGTCAAGAATCCTACAAAATATACCAACAGTTATTACAAGCTCAAACCGACGTCATCTCCCAAGATCGGGACATTGACGCATTGAGATACGGCTTGACCCGTTTTCCCAATTTGACAAGAGTCGAGCTCACCATCGCGACTCACGGCAGACAGTTGGAGCCGTTTTACCACACGCCCACCATCAGATCCCTTCCCAAAAACCTTGTCTATCCTCGTGCACGAGGTTGGCCCGGCACTGATCCGCATCGGAAACCCTTCTGGACAGAACCTTGGGACGGCGATGAAACACAGAATTGGCGTGGCTTCTCTGTTCTTACTCGCGCGGTAGCTCGACATCTACGCCAGAACCCTAACAGCAGCATAAACGAATTCTCTATCGATGTCAACTATCTCCTTGCCGGTATCAACATCCATCTCTTTGAGAACACAGACAGTACCGAGTACAAAGACCTCGTCACCATTCTGAGCCACCCTAGCTTGAAACGATTCGATCTACCTCTCGACTACAGTGGTATCGAGGACCCTGATGATTCGGCTCTGCTTTACGACAACGTTCAAAAGCTTCTCAGCATGGCGACAGATTTACAACACGTTAGCCTCTCAACAAACATCGACTTTCAAGACAACGACTTTTGGGGCATGATCGGTAGAGACGAGCACTGCTTTCCCCTCCGTACCACCCTACCCATTGAAAAGTGGTCCAACCTCCGTCATCTTTCTCTGTCACGGCTTTTCGTCAAACAAGATCACGTGAGAGACTTTCTAGCCGCCCTGCCACCAACACTCAAGTCAATCGAGCTCAGCTTTTTGGAGTTTACGCCATGGTACAGAGACTGCTACCGAGGTTTATTCGAAGACATGCGCTCTACACTCGGTTGGCAGGACCGACCGAGAGACAACCAGCCCAAGATCAAAGTCTTGGTTGAACGCAGGGGTGGAAAGGTGGTTGATGTAAGTGCTGAGGCTGAGAGCTATATGTACGACGGAGAAGAGAATCCTTTTACGATTGGGAGTGATCCGTTCTACACCGAGAAACGATTTTATGTTTTTTATGATGTTGGGATTGAGGTGGATGTGTTTGACCCAAGGTACAGGCAGCTGGATTTTCCCAACTACCGGGAAGCTAGGAGCTGATATCTTCGTCATTTCCACTATGATCGACCGTTATGGGTTCCAGACCCCGAACATGAAGACCTCGCAATAGATGGAGTGTAGGCCGTCGGAAGATTAGGCTCCCGAAGGCATAAGAGACAAGATAATTAGGTTAATTATACGAGTTAAGGAGGAATTGTGTCATTTTATTCTAGCGGTCTAAGCATTCAAACACAATCTCTTGGTTACCTACTTGCTTTGGGAGCCACGGACCAGGACCTTGACACTCTTGTCGCACTTACAGGGTGAAAACCGCTTGTGTACTTCTAATATAGACTGTAGCTTTGGACCTTCCTCATTTCACTTCTATCACAAGACCTTTGTGAAAAGAGAGCCCGGATGTCAGAACCGTTGGTATCATTGCGAGGTTTCGTTTTTCTGTACCGTTTCCATAAGTGACGAAGCTGTCTGCAGGCTGGCAGACTTCAACCTTGTGCTGATGCTGTACAACGGGTCATCAATTAGCGGGGGGACTGTTATGTAGATGTTGCTTCATCTCAAAACTCTCGAAGAACCGAGAGGATTGAAGGATACGACTCTCGCTACAATGCTGGCTAGTTGTCTGTCATTGCAGTCTAGTCGCATTTGACTGATGCGCCTCTCCTGCCCTGCCTTCGTCCCTCTGTAGTGGGTGCTAGCGTGAGGGTGTGTCTTGGGATTTTTGAAGAGAAGAGTGACATGAAGATATATGTAACTCCCCGCAAAACGCTACTATGGTAGCCTAAGCCAATGATCGTTGGTTAGGCTTCATGTGTCAAAATGTTGGCATTGAGGGTTAGCAGGTATATACTGAAAGAAACAATGGAAGTAAGTATTTATTTTCTTTAAGCTTTTGTCATCTCTATGATCCGTGAACAAAGGCCTATCAAATTGTTTGCACTCCGCAGAAATCCAGAGCTTCGTTGTACGGAAACTATCGGAAGAAGTTATAATAAATCGTGAAGAGACGACCTCCCACCTTAGATCGACCAAATTTCCTCCCTTCGACGCTGATAGCGACAATATGCCGGGCATTGACAGCCATCCCACTATTCTACTCCTTACACCAGCGTTGTCTTTTTCGGCCTTGTTCGATTTACAAAACCAAGTATCCTCTACATACGCTTGCAGTTCTATATGTCAAGAGCCCGAATAACCCTTATGTAGTAGTATTACAGTTAGCGGCTTGCCCACCGACTCCGGTCACATCGGAATACACGTTAACGGTGGCATATAGGCTGATTGAGGTTTAAACGCAACCTTGATAACCTGACCAACCACCTATACGTCGCCGTTGACTGCATTGCGACGTAGTCAATATCGATGGCAAGCAGAGAACGTTAACACTACTACATAAGGGTTATCCAGGGTCATGATAATACGAATGCAAGAGTATGAAGTTCAATGGTGGCGTGTGGGCTGCTTCAGGTTTTTGAGAAGCCAAATAACATCTCAACAATCTAAGCAAATACCAAGGGTCACCATTGATGACATTATGCGATTTGTACCACCGAGGTGCCGCAGCCTCAGCAAGTTTCGGTTGCTTCGTCGGCTGTGGCGAAAGCAGCACATTGCATCTGACACCCCAGAGTCGCTTCAGAATATGGGTCAGGAGACCACCTCAGGAGAGCATGGTGGCGATCGAACAGTCGAACCTCATACCCCCACTCATGGATGAGATCTTTGCCGGACTTGGATGTTCATGGTCCACAACATATAGAAGCGAATCCAACGGTGTTCGCGGCGATTGAGGTGAATATGGCCACTAAAATGAGATTAGTTGGAACAATACAAGACAGGGCGTGAAAGGGCAAGAGAAGGAGGGATATACGGACCCTCGCTAGGCAGAGGCAGCCCACGATGGATGGCATTCGGGGGACGCAGACTAGACAGGCGACTAAAGCACTGGCTATAGATATTTCAAACACCAAGTACCCGATGCTGGTATGGTTGGTTGTTCAGGGACGCAGTGATACAGTTTGCGGAGGAAGTGGGAAGCCCTGATAGTCGGCATCCGCTGTTTGGCTGCCGAAATGGAACTAAACAGCGGATGCTTTAATGGGGAATCGCGTCGAAGATTGAACAGAAGATGTTAAGGGAAGAAGAAAGATGGGATGATGATGGAAAGTTCAAGTTCAAGTTATATATCCCCTTCTCATAAGAACTTTTGTCACTCGGATAGCTGCCCCGCACTCCAGTCTCAGTATTCATCGCTTTCACTATGAAGCTCTGGTTAATCCGGTATTCAAACGCCCAAATTCATTTACTTCTGATGGCCAGCCTTAGTACGGGGATACGGTGTCCGAGACACTGTCTCGTGCGCGGAGAATTCTTGACATGTAGCCAGGACTACCTTGGCGTTCTTGAGTTTAAGCCCCCTTAGTACGTAATGCGAACCTCAGTGAGGGTCCAGCAATCAGAAGTCAGGCGAAAGGTAGCGCTGGATCCCGGTTTAACGCGTTTGGGGTTAAGAACGGAGCTCATGGTGGTGTTAAGGAGCAATACAGCAGGGGCAACATCTTTGCATATCTCCGTCTATATCCACTAGTCCAAGTTCGAGCCGACGAATTGCATTACATAGGTGGTGGCTTCTCGACTAGAAGTTGCATAGTTCTGGACCTAGCGGGGTCATAACATCCACAAGCCCCGGTATTAGCAATAAGGTTAGATGATAGATCTGCAGGGTTTACAAATGTGTTCAAGTTATTCTGCTTATAGAAGTAATTTTATGTACCGAAGCGGGATCGCAACAGAAAGTTCACGCTAGGTACACCGTCATATCATCCCCATATCACTAGTCTGTCGATAGGATACGACAGCAAGAAAAACAGAGGAAAAAAAAAAAAACAGATCCGTCAACGTGCATACCCAACGGCCAGAGTATTCACCGAGAAAGACGACACGGCAATGGGAGTCAAGGGAGAGCTTTCAAGAAGCCAATGGACTGGAAAGGCAAAGGGTGCGAATGCATGAATAGTCAGAAAGCGGGCTGATGCGTTGAGGGAACAAGGCTAATGTGTGCAGTTGGCAAGGGAATGCTGAAGCTGAAAGATGGGAAAATTATTGGTGGACCTGTGTATCACAGAATCAATGGAGATGGGGCTTCTTGACCTGAGATCAGCATCAATCACATTTGGCAAAATGCTCCGTCGCGCATGGCAGTCGTATTCAGCCACATCATTGAGTGATCCAATAAAAATCAACCGGAGCAAAATATCCATCGGAGTCCGGCAGCCGAAACTAGCGTGAGGAATGTCGATGTCGCAACACAACAAAACTCAAGGTCAATCACGGCTTCCATCCTCCTTCAGATTACACCTTGCTTACTGCTTTGTCCGGAAAAGCAAAAATTGAGACCGGACCAATTTCCGCGGCTTGAAGAACTGTACAGGAGCTTTAGGCCGGGGGGGTATTGGAAAGCCACTGCACCCATCACATATGCAAGAACAAAAGTGAGCTGAGCCTGGGGCTGAGACTGTTGGGGATTCATCTCCGGCGACGCTGAGGCTGCGTGTCCGCGTCCCCACGGGCAATTGTGCTACACGGCCGTTGACGGTATACCAACGTCATGCAAATCGAAGCCACACATATCTCAATGGGACCTTTCCAGCTGAACACTATCCTGAGAGCGAAGAGACCTATGGCTGCTCCAACACGACATGAATTTCCAGCCCTGCCCATCAGCGTGCTGGCATATACCTAGGTATTCCTGTATTGACATCGTCAAGGATACGTCGCCTGTGCCTTTCAAAAATTTGAAAACACCCAGATCTTTCCATCGCTATTGAGCTCGCGTACGCAGCAACTGGTTCATCTGGATTGCTGGCAGATGAGTGTGGTGCTGAGAAATAGGTACTTGATCGTTGGGCAGGTCTTGTTGTAGCACTTAATACTCCCATAATCTTCTTTGGTCTTTGTTGTGAAGGTGGCTCGCAATTGACAGCCTAGATTGTCGACCCGAGGGACAAACCGATGGTCAAGCAACAGCTGCCTTCCAGGGCAGAAGGAAATGAATTGATGAAATATAACTATATAAATGAGGGAAATTTCCCATGGATAGCCTGCTTCTTTAATCCTTACGACTGTTGACTTCATCCTCCTTGACCTACTGTTAGTCCCGTTTAATGACTCGTTGCTCTGAACCCTGTAAAATTTGTTTGAGGCTACCCTATGCAGAGGTCGTGTTGGAGTTCCTCAACATGAGTCGGCTTTCATTTGTGATTCGACTGCGATTGGTGCTATCAAATTACACTTCTTTTAATTTTAGATTTGTCTCCGACTGTTACTTTACCATCGGGCGTAATGCTGATTTCTTCAGACGTATTCGCAATTAAATGTTCTTGCCAAGCAGATTGTTACGGACGGAACGTCGTTTCTTCAAACAACCTTATTGTTCAATACGGATACCCTCCGTCACGACAAGTTCTAGTGAGCATGCCAATAGATGGGCGTTTCCGCCAGCCTCCATCCTGTTTTTAGAAGCGGTTCGGTCGGACTTTTACCGTTGCTATTCAAGGACCCTTTCTCGACGTATCAGAGAGCATCCCGATATAGAGTAGCTGTACCAATATTTTCAAACAACCAATAAGATTGCCTCGATGGCTCAGTGGTAGAGCGTGTCACTAGTAATGACAAGGTCCACGGTTCGATCCCGTGTCGAGGCAAAAGCTTCCGTTTCCTTTTTATCTGACAGAGAGGCCGGTCGATGTGCAGGTCAAATTAATCTGTCTTTTCTTGCCATGGATTTCGCGGAGAGGAGGAGATTCAAAATTCTCTAACATCTGTTGCAGTAGAATTCTTGCAATGACCGATAGATCAATGGGTGGTGCGTCGCAGCTCTTGACGGGAGTAAAATAAAAATAACTAATCAACAAGTGAATCACCATAGCAATCTCTCATTCATTCTTCGGTCTCTCCCATAAGCGTCCCGTTGAACATCAGACGCCCTTAACAAAGTCTTTGCATAGACTGCGCGTCGAAAACCCACACTTCCTTGTGACCCTGTATTCTACATTCTTAATCATCTCAAAATCCTTCACTGCCGTTTTGATCGCCTCAGGTCCACCGCTCTCCCCCCCACCACCGCTTTCGCCTGTTAGCAACAACAAGTCAGATGATACAGAAGACTACACTAAATAGCTGTCCAATGGCCGATTCAGCTGCACTAAGCTTGCCTGCATTGACTTGTTGATGCAAGCTCAGGGTGCTGTTGACAGCGCAGCCCTCCACAACAAGCTTGGGCTGCATATGCCAGAGTGGGAAGTCAAGAACATGAGCAAGAAACTCAAACTTGCGTAGCAGCCTATCTTTGGCCACCCTCTGTATGAGAAACGTTTCAAGCAGTGTCGACGACCCTCAACCCTCAGAGCTACCCTGTTGATGGGGCCTTCAATATTCCTGCCAGCAGAGTCTACCAGCGTCGAGTGCGCGAGTTCACTCCTATGTTGTGGCTCGAGAATCCGTAATTGGTCTGCCATTTCCTGTTTCTGGCCCAACTCCTTTATCGCAAACGAAAGAACACGCCAGAAACACTCTTCATACGTCAAATTAACTGTCCTAGTCCCTTATTTTACTAACGATCCATTCCCTAGGTCCGGTTGCTAGTTACCATTGAGCCCGACCAAACAAACACACACATCTTCCGCGCTAATATCCCCCCAGCCTCCTCCACGCCCTCGATAACCCGACCGATGTCATGCACAACCTCGTCTGGCCTGCGACAAAGCACGTCCAGGTCCCATTCGCACCCCACGCGACCTTCTCGGAACGAGTGGTGCGACAGTAGCTCGCTGGTCTCAAGATAAAGGATGCGGAGGAGGAAGGAGCCGCGGGGATAGAAACGCAAGCAGGATGAGCTTGATACTGTGTGAAGAAAAGGGCGTGGGTTATGAGATCGATGCTGCCGGAGAGACAATAAGCGTCAAGACACGGGAATACATAATTAGGCTGTCGCACGCTCTCCCCAGCCATTTTTAACGTGGAAAGGTTCACATCAACAGGGTTCTCAATACAACGTCTGTCTGCTCTACGTTTCTCTTGCAGAGGAAAAGGCTCAGTATTTTGGCTTTACATCCCCAACGACCTTGTTCCTGGCCTGTGACTCAGCCTCTCCCTCGAATGTGACGAACCTCCATCTTCCCCTCTTGTTCACAACGAGATAAGACATAAATGTTTTTATCGTGCCCAGTGGCCTCTGCCCTTTCTTCAATCTCTTTGTCCAAGTCATTCTCAGCTGACTCAAGGGCATTAGTAACGTGTGTTGCCTGTGCGACAGCTAGCCACGCGTTTCCCAGAGCAGAGAGCCTTGTCCTCATTAGAAAGATAGTCATTATAACAAAGACTTGGACAAGATGTAGAGCGGCCATGCTGATAACGAGAGCGAGCCCCAACCATTGGACTGGGACGATTGTCTCTGTTACATGGATAGTAGTGACTGGGTATGCAAGATCATAGCCATCCATAAGGCTATAGTATGTCGCCTGATGAAGTCTGGTTAATACACTTTGAACTGCAAGCGCTGGATCACCAGTTTCCTGTAGTATATTTTGGAAAACCAGGGTATGTGATTCATGTGCCTGCCACGGTACCCCGTATCCCATTTTCCATGTCGTGTTCGATTCCAGCGACATCTCGTCCAGAACTGTCAGCAGAGGCTCTTCAAATAACGGCCCTGTAATGCTAATCTGATCCGTCGTATTCGCCCGGGAGGCAATGTTAAGTTTTAGAATGCCACGTTTCGCCGTGTCGTTAGCGTCAACTCCCACGCCGAACTGGTATAAAATCTCCTTGGTTTTGTCTTTCCAGAAGCCCTCCCAGTCATCACCATGAGTCGTTGTGTGATTGGTATTAGGGTCCCATTGAGGCTCCTCGCGGATGGCGTCTCCGGTCATGGTGACGTTGTAGATGCCCGCCTTTCGGATGTTATAGTAACAAGAAGTAGCAGCTATTATCTCAAGACCGGTACTGTCGTAGATTCTTGTCCATGGACCATCTTCTTTCAACGACAGTCTTTGGAGCCGCTTGGGCGTCCTGGGTTGAAGAATGGTGTTATTCTCGTATAGTGACTCAATATCAGCCGTTGTGTTCAGGATGACAATTTTTCTCATTCGAATTTCTTCATTCTCGAGTCGCATTGTTTTATCACTCTCTAGCTCATCAATGAACTGATTCTCGAAATCCAGTGTTTCACCAGCACACAAAGTAGTAGGCCATCCTCTCCCCTCATCCGCTGGAATGACTGCACATTCCCTGGTTGAATATTGCAATTTCTGCCGTAACCAAAGTGTTGGTCCATTCTCGATAAAATCTCCCCGTCTTTTAGTTTCGATGGTGAAGTTATCCTGTGGAAGGGGAACGCAAACGGTTCTTGTGTTGGCGACCACAGCAGGTCCTGAATAGTACTCAAGTGATGTTCTTGTAGTAACGTTTGGAAAAGGCAGAAAGGCACGATAGACCCTTCCAGTGTCCCCGTATCTGTTTGGGCCAATTCGTGCTTCAGCGAACCGCCACTGCGCCGCAGGCTTCGACTTCCAGGATACAACGGTTGTGTCAAGTTGATCGGCATATGTGGTATATGAAATGAAACTGTCGTTAATGGTAGGCTGTCCAGCAATTCGAGCAGGTCCCAAGTCTGAAAGTAATACTGTAGAGTTCAGGTTGGAGACAAGTAAGATGATGACTGATGTAACGATAATGAAGGAGTGCAAAGCTCCTGCCAGCCCGTTTAAAGTTTGCCTCAAGACAGCAGGCAGGATACCGAATGGGTTTGACTGTATTCTTTCAATGGATAACAATGGTATATCCATCATCCGCGCTCCAGACGTTTCGAGTACAATAGCTGCTAAAGCAGAAACTAGCACACCGATCTGCAGGGATATAGAAGTCCGAATTGCGGCGGAGCAAATGGTGATAACTCGTGTGGTCCACTGTCTCAAGACAATCATCCTCCAAAAACTTGGAAAACTAGGTGTCTTGCGGTTAATAGCATCCTCAGCTCCACACCATAGGACAAGAAGAATGAAGAATGAGATTAGTATAACCAGGGTTGCCACGATGAGGATCGAAGCGCTGACTGGGCCAATGCTCTGCCACCACGAATATCGTCTGTTGATAGATGTTGGGACTATGTTCGATAGCAACGTGGACGACAAATGCCCGGGCGCAACTTTCGTTGAAGTGGCGGCGTATTCTGAACTCCTGCTAGCCTCATGCTGAGCATGAACGTCCTGGGATATAGCCCTTGGACGCTTCGTTTCTTGACTCATGAGTTGAAGCGATGGAGCGGTACCGATGTCCTGTAAGTCATCACGATATGTCATCGTACTATATCTTATATTCGTGCTCTATGTAGGGTTGGTAAAGAAGGGAGGACAGCGTAGCTGCCAGACGAAAGTGCATCGGCAATCATTTATTGAACGGGGTCCTTGTGCCAAAAGACAAGGCATTCTCCACAAGAATCAACTAGAGCCTTCAGCTCTCAATGCCAAGGATAAGATAACCAATAAATACAAAGTGTGAGATCTCAAAATGAGGTGATGGTGACGAAAGTCTCAAGCCACATGGGGAAGCTGAAAGTAAGGTGTCCAATGACAAAGGGCTGAAAACATCAACATTGCTTGGCATGCTCCCTTGTTAACCATTTTAAAATACCCGCATTCCTATGCCACCCAACCTTAGAGACCACTGCTTTCAAAGTTCACTGTGATGGTAAACAGATGCATTATCATGCATTTCTTCTCACACAAGACTGGTGCCTCGAACATCAACGAGCTTGGCTTGACACAATGGAGCCTTATGCGGCATTGCACCCAGAGGAGTAGAACTAAGAACTATGTTTTCAACGTCTTATTTATCCGTACGGTTCCAGCGGCCTGCTCCTAGTAAATCTCCTGTTGTCCCCCCTTCCTAAAAAAGGACCGACAAGTTGAAGGTTTATTTACGGCAGAGCCAGAAACAAATGTGATGAGACAAGTATGTAGAGTATTCTAATAGTGTAACGCAGTGTCTACCGAACCCTTCATTACCCCTTCAACCGCAGCACCTACATCCAACACTGTGACTTTTAAAGATAGATATAGCAAAAAGGCGCACCACTGAGGGTATCAAGGGCATCGTCAATAGCAATCAAGGGCGCATTAACTCCCATGTTCAGGGGATCCGACTTCAGAGCGTCTCTGCTGGGAGGTCGGTTGGAGATGGTGATTGTGCCCGCAATATCCTTGGCTTGCTTGGGATGCAACGCCTGCCAGATCCAGTACACGTAATCGACCATGGCGTGATGTAAGAAGAACACGGGGTCATTGGGAGACGAGTAGAGATCCGACGCATCGCCTCCCATAATGAAATGGCCGGCAGCGTGCATGCCTAAGAACCTGTCTCCAAACCGACCTTGAAATTCGTCTTGCATGGCTTTAATGGAATGGGAAGCTCTTCCGAGGGTGACGTTGTAGAGATTTGGTAGCGTCATCCACTGCTCGACGGCGTAGGAGGTAAGGTCACGGCGAAGACAACGCGGGTTGTAGTTCAGAGGCGTCTTGGTCGCTTCCATGCCGTCCATCCCTGGGGAAGGAGGACCCAGATTGGCGACTTCGCCAGCAAAAGGACCCGTCTCGATACAGCCGCCACCGTTACCACTAGGAAGAAAGATGTTTCCTCCGCCAGAGACTGAACCGTTGTGCTTGAAGAACTTGCCGTCGCCGCTCATGCTTGTGTCAGAACCATCAAAGAGAGGGTTCGTGGCAAAGTCACCGGTCTCGAACCAATTCCAGTACTGTGATGTTCGTAAGCGGACCTTCACTGGTATGAGAGGATCTACGTACAGGCTGGGTGCCCTTGTAACCGCACTCATCTTGAAGGGCCTTCTCGTAGGCCCAAGTGTAGTACCGATGCCAGGTGAGGAAGTTGCCCTTTGTCTGTTAGCCGTCTGATGTTTAAGGGAAGAGGTCACTGACTGTGCCATGAATGCTCAAGGTTTGGTTGATATGGACAGCAACAAAGTCATCATATCTGGTTCGAGCACCGGGCGCAAAAGCAGGGTCGGCCTTGGAAGGCTTCTTTCGCAGGCAAAGCACAGCACCAATGTACGCCTTCTTGTCCTTCTTGGAAAGCGTTTTCCTGTAGGAGATTAACGAAGGTCTGAGACAGCCTGCTGGGTCACTCACCAATCGCGTCGAACAGCGGCGTTGAAGATGGTGCATTTCTTGGATCCGGAACGTCCGTTGGACTTTACGTCTCCCTTTTTCAGCGCAGACGTCGCCTTCTCGTTGAGAGACAGCACCAAATCAGTTCCTGATGATTGGTCGGTAGGAGCTGAGGCGACAAGACTTGAGGCGCCCAGCACGGCGGCGAAAATTGCAGACGAGATGTGCATGGTTAGACTGCTCTCTACGGGCTCAGTTAAAGGATTAGGTAGAGAGAATGGAAAAGGACGAAGTGCGAGGTGGAGAAGAAAAGAAAGAGGTCAGCAGAAATATTCTACTAGGTTGAAAATTATATCTGCTGTCAGCAATAAGATCTTGACCCCCGGACCCGCCAAGTCGGAGCCAGCCTGTATCGGTAGTGTAACCCCGCGGCCATCTTGAATACCATCGATATCCACCAATCTCCAACAGCGGCCAGGGTCCGAACAGCGGATCCGGCATGCAGGGCCGAGATGATCAGTCATCCTTACGAGGTGCGGCATGCAGGGCAAGGGCGCAGCCCAATGGGTGGAAGAACAGATGCATGGGTTATTCGCTTTCCAAGGGCGATTAATATGACTCTTTGAAGAAGTGATTACCGGGTAGATGGGCAACGGATGAACTGTACTCTGGGGTGCCAGTATAAAATAGGCTAAGTGCTGGTCTAAGATGACCAAATAATTTCGTCCGTTATGCCTTTCGGGGCTAATTCGCCAACACCCTGGAGAGGAGTTGCCGCTGTGCATCTAGTGCGAGAAAAGACCGAGAGTGGAAGCCTTTTCGTATCCGTTCGAAAGGAAACACGAGTGAAAGTCCGACGTTGACAAACATAGGTGAAGAACAATTCTAGATGCTTCACTAACCTCTCTTGGAGTCTTCAATAGCAACAAGGACAAGTTTCATAACTCACATCGGTCCAGCACGACCCTTATTACAATTGAAAAGTACGGCTGTATGAGATCCATGATATGCTAGCCATCAGCTGCGATTTGTCTGTAAGTTAGTAAATTATCGCCGTGTTCACCTAAGGTCAAGTGCCCCATCAAATGATTGATCAGGAGTCAAAGGATACCATGCCAGGGAATGGAGAGGACTGAGAAAGGCGGGAGAGCATCGATGGGAGTGTAAGTGTTGCGATAAAGCAAGATGCAGAGCCCACGACTTGATAGAAAGGCATTTCTGGCTTACGCACAAGTTCTGCTTACTGGATACGTCTTTTGCAATTGCTTACCCCTCTAATATCACTACCGTTCACTTCATGAACTCCGCCCCGTCGGAACCCGACGACGCCTTCATTGCCACGCTCGGCTCAAGCTTCAACTCACAAGGATAGAACGCAGTCCAAGTCATCGGAACCAAGGGTTGCCTGGCGCTTGGGGAATCCCTCATCCCTTCTCTAGCGACGCGGGATATCAGGGGGATGCATATACTGAAATGTCAGGCTCTTTGGAAGAATAGACTTGGGACGCCAGATGGTCAGAGGGATCGAGGTACCATACGCTTGGGTGTTGGGGACCAATAATGCTCGAGAATTGAGGTCATATTCGGTGTCCTTTTCGAACGGCATAGCGGCGCGATCGACAGTGACAGGGTCCGAGGCGCTTGTCTTCTGTAACAGGTACAAATGTGAAAAATACGACGCGGACTCGAGATGGGATAGTCGGAAGAGAAGAGCGCGCTTAGCAGTTGAATTGTAGGTATGCTCAGCTCGCACTGACAACAGTAGTATTTCTATGATACTTCGTATGGCTAGAGCGCGCTTCGTGGTTGTTGGTAACTTCAGAAAGGCTTGGTCGTCGCGGGACGGGAAGAGTAATGTGCATACATGATACCTAGCGACAAGTGAGTGCATTGGCACATGGAAAAGGGTATGGAAGGGAAAGAATCGACCTATCGAGAACTTGTACCGGTCATCTAGTTGTCATGTTTTGTTCGACCGCGACGTGAGAACATCAAGCAGCTGCAACCAGAGTTGAGGCATAGCAGCAAATGCTGTCATCGTTCGTAATGCCATGACGGATCTGGTCGCAGTAAGCGAGAAGACGTATGGAGAGCAGAGTTGCGACTATAACTGTCCTTGACAGCTGTAGTGTCACGATGATACAGCAGGGAGGGAGGGATCGCGGCCGGCGAGGTGAAGCTTGTTGATTTGGGAGAGCAAAGCGCGCGCATGAGCCTCCTTGAAGGCATCGGTCAACCGTATCAGGTGACGGGCCCTACCGAGTATCAGTGGCCTGTTTCTTCTTGCAACATCATCAAACAAACTGGACTTGAAGGAGCGAAACGATTGATCTCGGTACAGAAATTCTCGTAGAGAGGTTGAGGAGTGCCATCAACTGTGGCGCAGTCGCTGGTGGCCGCCGCAAAAGGATAATGACTAGAACAGTGTTCATGCTCGTCTTTAATGCTGATGAATTGACGGCAGATCAAAGGAAGTAGCGCTTGTTCAGAAAGGTGTTCACAGGCGGTCCTGCTTTTACCTGCCTCTTCGCGGCAACTGGAGAAAATGCCATTTGAACCTGGCTGCCCTCATCATTACGTCCAACTACCAGCAAGACAACGTTTAGATAAATGCGCCCACGTGGCCTTATAGGAGATGTCCTCCAAGTCTTAGATTGCAAATCTAAACTGCGATATTTCCTGACCTAAGTTTGCATAAGATGGTCAAATACTTTCGTCCTTTAGGGCCCCTTTACTGACAGCTGACAAGTTCTTTCCTAGGCTACGAACCCACCGAATACGTTGACTGTCCCCGAGAACAAATGCCCAATCGCCAACGCCGACAATCGACTTGAAATTGGCACTCATCCCAACATGCGTTTCGTGGCACAAGACCAGTAATTACTGATGGTGTGAGCCCCAAACGAAAATCGCCAGCACCACTGAGCCGAATGGACAGCGACGAGACGGCTGAAGTCCAGAACCCTATCACGACGTGACTTCAGGCAGGTTGGGAAGTTTGACTGTAGTCGTTAATCGATTCGGTGTTGCCAATATTAGTTCTCTTTGTGATTACCGTCGGTTTACCTGAAGGAACCCGACAAGTTTCACCCGCGCTCTAGAGAATGAGAGTTCAGATTTCCCTCAAGACATATACACTTTCGAAGGTCTATGTTTTCGATGCTTGTACAAAGCCTTTCTCTTACTACCGAACATAATGGTGAGGCTAAGGAACAAGAAAAGACAGCGATCCCAATTTCATACCAACGCAGCTGTGCGAATGCTAAGCTCTGACTTAACCGTCTTGCTGCCCGCCTCATCTCGTTTAGCTGCTGTCTGGATGTTGACATTCAGGAGGTGCGAGGTCAAGCGGTCAGCGAAGGTGCCATATGGCTCGTATGCGATCTTGGTATGGTAGATCGTAGGCCAGGTGTCGTTCGTTCTAGTCGAAGGAGTCATCATTTGGTCGACGACACCTATGGGAAAGTCGGCCTGGAACACATGAGCATTCACCTTGTCATCGGATGTGTGGACAACAAGACGAACCTAAGGAAGAGTTAGCAAAGGCCTCGATGGAGTGATTGAAACATACAGGATAGCGTTCGCTTTCAAATAAAACCCATTTGTACTGTGCCAAAGCTAGCATGACGCAGAGGAGGTATGGATCTCGGTTCCAGATCTTAGGCGTGCAGAGTCGAAGTTTGCGTTTGTTCCATTCCCGAGATGGCTCGTTCAGAGTCCATGAGTCACCTGAGGGAAATCGCTGCTCACGCGCCCGTATGACAGTATCGTAATCCAGAAAGGCGACAACGAGTGGCGCGGTGGGGACGACGGTTTCCTCTGTGGCCGATGACTTGAGAACTAAGACAGTTCAATCGGCTAGAAGCACTCTGCGTCTGTCGAAATAAAATCCTGGTTTACCCCTAGATACGGACAGAGCGTTAGTAAGGGAAAAGAACCACGGGCGACGAGATGGGTACGACATACTCCATATGTTCGAAGGGGCTTCTCTCATTGGTGAGAAGGTCGATAAACAATTGGGACCTCCAGCAGTAAACATCGAGCAGATCTTTCAGTTTCTTGATGGAGTCCTCTTGGTGTACAGGCGTTTTGGCGTCTGGGGGTACACTGGCATCCTGGAAATGGCAGTTCACGAGCTCAAGATGGTGCGCGGTCCACTCAAGAGGATGGATAGCGAACCCGGGGTTTCGAATCAGCAGATCCCGAATGGACAAACCAGGCGCAGTTTCATTGTTCATCTTGTTTTGAGACACTGCTTCTCGTGGAGAGGCGGTCATTCTTGCTGTTAGTGACGATGTTGAAAGAAGGCAAAAACTGTTTGTCGTTGTTTGATGATGACAATTGGAGAAAAAATGTGCTGATTGATTGGGGGACACTGGGACAGATGCAGAGCGGAATAGAACACTGGAAAAAGGAAAAAGGAAAAAGTTGAGGATGATGCAATTAATGTAGAAAATAAGCAGGTGGAATTGGATTAAAGTTGATGGAAAACTGTGAATGAAAGGCTGAGCTCAATCAAACTGGCTGATGTGTCGCCGCAAACTCTCCAAAACAGCAGTCCCAGCGATGGATGCACGGTTCAACTTTTAACAGCCAACTCCGCCTGTATAGCTCTACCCACAAATGATCTGCGCCATCAAAAGCTTAATCGACCAATTGCTTGTTTGGTCATGCTGCTTACCTGTCATTCGTTCGAGACGTTTGCGCCAGTCGCCCATTTTCTTTTTGACACTTGACAGCATTTGAGCACCTCTCCTGTAGGATTTTGCTCTTGCCGATTGAGCTGCTGACGTCATCGATTTCCGAGGCTCAACAGCCCGACTCGACTCCAAATTTTCGCCCTTTTCCTTTGCGACACTCCAACTTCCACGCGCTTTCCATTTCACGTGTCGCCATTCGCAGACAAACTGCTAACCATCTTTACGACCTTCTCACACAAGACCACCATTATGTTACTTCTCGATATCCCGAAATCGCCGTCGAATACCCCGATTTACGCCTCCACCCGACAGCTTCCTCGAGCCCAGCCCTCATTCAACCGATCGATAGCCTCGATGGCCGCCGTTCGCTCTGAGACCACGCTCGCTCATTGAGCCACCTGCGTGTGGGACGAAAACAACACTCGCAAAACGCTGTCTCGTCCAAAGCAAATCTACTCAGCGCTCTGTCTTCCGCCTAGCATACAGTCTCCGTCCCTCAATCCATCGTGTCGCTAGCCGGCATCCACGAACACCCCCAAAAGTCTGCACTCGAACGAACGGGACTTACGACAGCGCATAACCGCACCAAGGAGAATGGAGTAGACTTGGGACCAATTTGGAAAGCCTTGGCTAGAGTAAAAACTCCACGATCAGCTCCTCAGCCAACCACCTCAACACCGCCTAGCCTTGCTGCCAGTCGCTCTCGACGACCCGGTATGTCCCGTGTCAACTACGCACCGGTAGATGAGTCCTCCGACAAAAATACCATCTCTGCCACCATACCATCTCTGCCACCATACCATCTCTTTGTAGATATATAGTTTGATGTAGCTTATTATAGAGAATTCACTAATATTAAGGCTAATGTTAATACCCTTGCCTTTATATGAGTTTACAGTAATTAAAAGCTTTTAGTTATAGATTAACTTGAACTATCTATACAATGCTCTGCTACATAACTTTACAAGTAGATTAGGAAATTTAGATACCTGGCCAGGGTTTATTTATTGGTGAATAATAAGTGACTATAAGTAATTTATCTCTTCTTATGCATTGAGCAGCATATTCTGCATTGCTACATTGCTAAGATCTGAATCAATTTTAATGATATAAACATTTGGAATAAGCAAACCATAGCACTTGAGATAAATCAACGTTGCACAACCTTGTACTTAGAGGTACGTCGAGCGTCGATCTTCTTTTTGCCTTCAGTTGGGCCGGAGAATCTGTTGTCGGTACTATCACTATCTATATTTAGCATGAACCCTCACACAAAGTTGTAAAGAGACAGCTTACTTGTTAAGATAGATCCAGACGTTGACGGCGGAGCGGACAGTCAGACCCTGAATGTTTCTGCATTCGAAATTAGTTATTAGAAATAATATATGACTCTGGGTGATATTACGGAGTGCCTTCCAAAGGCTCCCAGGTGTCAAAACCGGGATAGTGATCACGATCACCGCCACCCTTGACATCCCAGCGAATCTGACATGAGAGTTAGCAAAGAAGAAGGACTTCACAAGTAGACGTAAAATATAAATTTAACTTACATAAATGGTGTTTCCACTAACAGTGGCATCTTCGAACTTGCCCTCTTCCAAGATGGGCTCCTTGCTGTTGACTTGCTCATCACTCATGATGATGATGTTTGGAGGTGAGGATTTTGTAATGAGGATGTCTGACTTGAACGTTTATCTGAAGATGAGGACTGAATATGCTAGAGACAGCAAGCTATTTATGTTTCTTGGTCCTCCAATAATTCACACGTCAAAGCATGTTTTTCATCCTTACCCTCCGTGAGTCGCGGCATGTTGAAACACAAGATGGAATCCTATAGACAGAATTGGCGTTTTGGGACTCTTGCATATGTATGTCCTAGACACAGCCCCAAACTCAAGGTTTTCCCCTCTTTCATGATTTCATCACACGGAAACGCCACTCTGTACATGTATGGCGACTCCAGCGTAAACAGAGCGAGGAACGATATAGGAATGTTGGTGGCTCAACGCTAGTCTCCACTTGCCCATACTTATCCTCCTATTGGGGCACAAAGTCAAGTAGAGAGGCATGTCTATCAATGTAAAAGTAACCGTCACTTATAGTCTCGACTCTCTGGCATTGCTTTACAAGCAGTCGAAACTCTGTAGGGGAGTCTGAAGAGACTTTGCCAACATCTACCATAGTCTGGTGTCACTGGGCCTCCATTGTGGTCCCCAAAGACTTCCCATTTCGAGTGCCGTAGGTCTATCTTGCCCGCTGGGCATATCGTCTGTTATGCACTGCCTCACGCCACTGTCTCGTTTTCAGACAAATGAACTTGCTTGTTTTGTTTGGATCTGCTTTGGGTATACGTATATGACATGAGGTAGTTAAAAATGAAGTCTCAAATGCACCTTTTTTTTTCGAAATGGAGGCGTCTTCCTAAAATGAGCTCATAATTTCTCTAAGACACTAACTTTTCAGAGTGTAAGAGAATCCGTGTTATGTTACTAAAACATCTCTGCAAGACACTGGGTTAATTAAAAAATATCTACCACTAGCGAGACTGGCCTACGCACCATGGTTAACGGTTCAAGCCTCCCCAGTTGATGAATCTGAATGATTGGTAAAATATACGCAGCTGATAAAGGACATACCCTGTGAAACACGAAATTCAAGACTGCTTACGCTGAAAAGCAGAAAACCAAGGATTCAAGTTGCCGAGACGTTTGTCTCGGTCATGACTATGCATAAGTCTCACCGCTAGTCTGTGAGACAAGAGAGAACAATGCCGGCAAATCAATGAACCAATCCAAATTCGAAACTTGACACAGTGGCGAGTAGAACGCCATTAACTTGCCATGCACTCAGATTCATATTGGGAAAGAGTAATTGGCGGTGAGTCAAACAGATCGCTCGTCAAAAGTCAGCTATACTTTGCTGAGACTCCAATGGACTTTTTCCAAGGAAGTTATCGTCAAATTGATCTTGGAATACTATGTCTCAGTACAGGCCTCATTTTATCCGATGCAATGCTGACGCCAGTAAGAGATGTAGTCCGTTACACGGTAATGGAAATGCACCTGATCGACCCTGTCAATGATATCTGAATGATTTAGTACATTGAACACTGCTTAAGAGAAGGTGCATGGCTTATCATTAGTTCCTGACTTGAAACACAGATTGCAATGTAAGAAATGATACTTGACATCTTATGAACACATCTTGTGAATATGCAGTTGTAGCGTCCTTGGAATGACACGAATCCACACTTACCCTCCCTTACAACCGCCTGCTGGGCTTCATCAACGAATGGGAATGAGCAGAAGCAAATCCGCGGCCAATGCACAAAGGTGGGGTCAAACAGAACTAAGACAAGTGCCTACACTAGCGAACTGTCCCGATCACTTATGACCTGTACAACTCTTATACAACAAGCGTATATTTATAATATATTATTCCCTGTTTATTATAACCTATATATCTAATGCAATAACCTAGTACTACAGTTTAAATTCAACTCTACTAGAGATATATTTTAATCTTTACTTTATTAGTTCACTTTCCTTACTATCTCTTAGCCAACCTTTAGTTTCTTTCCTATATCTTAAATCCTTTACCTGCACTTTATCTCTGCTTTGTCTCAGTCTACATACTTAGAAACTAAGTCAGTTTAGGTATAGGCTGTTGTCTCCTTTACTCTTATTCTCTTTTCTATATCCTGGATCCTTTAATTGCCCTTTCTCTCTGCCGTGTCTCAGTCCACATATTTAAAAGCTAAGTTAGTTTGGCTAGAGGCTGTTCTCTTCTGTTACTCTGATTTTTAACCCGGAAATATAAAGTAGCGTATTATTAAATAACGGGAGGAGTCTCCCTCTCTAGTATTCTAGGGGTCCAGGGGGCTGGGTACAAGATATTCCTTAGAATTCCTTGTATCCTATTAGCAAATTAATGTACCAGTGCTAACTAAAGAGTTAATTTTACTAATGCTACTAGACAATGCATTATCTAGCAAAGCAGATAAGAGGTATAAAAGCCCTCTTCTATCACCCCAAATATCAATCTACAAAATTAACAACTTGAACACTGCACTACCACAAATACCAACAACAGATCTTCTATCAGTTACCTACAAAAGCTTTGTTCCGTCAATATGAAGTTACCGGTTCTCGGCACCTTTGCAATGCTCGTCGCTATTGTCTACGCACAAGACTTTGACGACGATGACGTGAGAAGACCAGGTGATGTTTGTAGTATGAACATGCCTTTCAATTCCTCAGGCCACTAATATGTTTCTAGGGTTTTGGTAAATGCAAAGATTTTGGCGAAGAGTGCAGCTCTTCTTTAGATTGCTGCGGTATTTACTTTTGCCGCGATGTGGACGACAAGCCTTTCAAAGTATGCAAGATGGACGAATGCCGTGCTCTCGGCAAAGCTTGCCGGGTTGACTTGCAGTGCTGCAGTGATGTTTGCACCTGGGTGAACCCTAAAGTTTCAGCCGCTCGGGAATGTAAGAAGGAACGCGCTTGCCGAACCGAAGGAGACATCTGTAACAACGGTGCATATGAGTGCTGTAAGGGTCTTACATGCACTGGAGATCCTAACAAAGTACGAAGATGCTACTAGGTATTTAGACAGAGCTACCGGTTACTTAGTTAGTCTAAACCCTAGTAATAAGGTACTTTTTACATTAATAGAAATAACTATTTATTTCTAAGAATAATTTACTTAAGTTTAAATATAGCTATTATATAAAATTAAAGGTAGATTTCTTTATTTTCTATTATAAAATATAAGTAAATTAACTAAGATAAAGCTAATAGTAAATCTTATAAATCTTAAAATACTATTACTTATAGTATTAGTAGCTAAGTCTTAAGTTACTTTAAAAAGTAGTATATATTAAATAATTTATTTTCTATACTATAAATATATCTTTATTACAATCCCTGTAGTTATATTATATATACCTTATATTTTTTTACTAATTAGAGCTTAGCTTACCTATACCTATATACGCCTTACCTAAGCTTATAATACTAACTATAAACTTACTTACTAACTTACCTAAGTAATTATAAGCCTTCTCTTAAAGCTTATAATTATACTAGTAAGATTATTATATATATATATATTTACTTAGTACTAAATAAAATACTTAGCTTACTAGCTATTAATAAGACTTCTTTACTTAAATATACTTAACTTACTTTATTTACTATTAAAAGATATAATACTTTATAATACTTAGTACTTATACCCTATGTATTTACTAATATAAACCTAGTATAAACTAGTTTATTTCTTAGAAATTATAACTATTATATATTAATAGCTTTTATTTAAATTATACTATATAATACTAAGTAATATTTATATAATAGCTTCTATTACTTTAAACTAACCTTTTACTACTTAGTATAGCTAATAGATACCTTAGGTAATACTACTAAATACTAACCTTACCTAGAAAAAGAAAGTTAACCTTTTTATAAATACTAAAGATAAGAATAAAGTAAATATTACTTTTACTTACTTAAGTAGTTATAAAAATAAAGTTACTAAGCTTAAGTAAAAGATTTATAAGCTTAGTAAGTAATATAATAAACTTCTTAATATAGCTCAGTTTAACTTAAAAATAGCTAGAAACTAAATTAAAGACCTAGAAAATAAGATAGCTAATATAACTAACCTTACTAAAAGACTAAATAAAGAGGCTAAATAAAGCTAGAACCTTTACAAAAAGTATATTAAATATACTACTACCTTTATTACTACTAGAAAAGACTTAAGAGAAATCCTTTACCCTTATTAACTAGATCCCTATAAAGGTAAGTTAAATAAACTATAAGAATTTCTTACTAGTATATATAACTACTAAATATATTACTTTATATAGTTTAATACTAAGGAATATAAAGTATAATTTATAGTTAACCCCTCTAGAGTAGGTTAAAGCGTAGGCTTATCTTATCTAAAGTTGCCTATATTAACTAAACTCTAACTATTGCTAACACAGTTACATATATAAAAGGCTACTATATAAGGCACAGTAGCCTAGCCCCCTTCCTTCCTTCTATAACTATACCTAATATTACATATAGTAAGTTAATAAACCCCTATTACTCTATACTACTAACCTATTTTATAGCTATATTAATTCTAGTAAGGTATACTAGTATTACACCTATAAGGGCCTACTACTATAAAGATAATATATACCTTAAGCCTATAGAGATTAAAGAAGCCCTATAGCTACTTTTATAGAATATAGATATCTTCTAGGTAGCCTTAGTCCTAGTTATACCTAATTCTAACCTAGTCCTACAGAGGGTTAAGCTAGCAGCCTTTAGCTATTAGCTTCTTTAGCTATTTTAGCAAGGGAATTGTATATAATTTCTAAACAGAGAGATAACTATATTAGAAGGGCTAGCTAGGAAAATAGCTACTAAAGAGCATCTTAGCTGCAATAACAAGCGATTTCTCTATAAGAATATAAAGTATAATATACTATAAGCTTTTTTAAAAATAAAGCTTAGAAAGTATTAAGACCTATTCTAAGAGACTATATTTATAATCTACTATATGTAAAGAAAGAAATAATTAACTATACTTATAAGAAATATAATTACTATTAATAATACTATTAATAACACTTAGTTATATATATTAGCTAAGGTAGTAGTAAAAGTTAAGGAAGGTATATAACTTATTATATAACTTAGATTAATTAAACTACTAATAAGCTAGTTATTATTTTTAACTTTAAGTAACCTTAACTTTAACTTTTACTAATATATAAATAATATATAAATATAATCCCTTTTTAAAACCTTATATATCTAATTCTTTCCCTCTAAGAATACTATATATTATTAAGTTAGTAATTATAGCCTTATATTAACTACTAGGGCTCTTTTAGTAATTTCTATAACTATTACAGCGCAAGACCAGACCTGCTTACCCTATACCCAAGTGTAGGTTAGATTACATAGCAATACGTTATTACTGCAACCTTAGCTAGACCGCTAGTTAGATCCTAAACGTAGCTCCTTAAGCTATGTCTTGTTAATAGAGCCTAACCTGCCTATAGTACCTATCTATAGCAATAGATCTAACTCTACCTAAAGCGTTCCCTGTCTACCTGCCTACCGAGCCCTAACTATAACAATAACTATATAGTTTACTTACTTAGTTAAGAAAATAAACTAGTATAGGTAATAGTCTTTATTAACCTTTTTTAAAAACTAACTTTTATTACTAGTTAAAGCTACCTTTATCTTAAGCTTTATTATTAGTCTATTTAAGAATACTAGCTTATTAAGAAGCTAAGGTACCTTAGTATTAAGGTAAATAAAAAGGAGAAATCTATAGTTAAAAGCTACTAAGGCTACTTTCCCTTTATTAGTATACTCCTTATTAAGGTCTACTACTAGCTCTATAGCTATTTATATAAAGATAGACCCTAGTAAAATTAATATAAGGGCCTTTGTAATCTTTAGCTTATTAAGTTCTTTATTATTAAGCTTATAGTACTAATTAGTAATTAGAGTAATACTGCAGTATTTAGTTAGTATTACTATAAAACGAGTTAGTAATATATAGTAATAGGTAAAGGTTAACTAACTTACTATATGCTTATATAGTAGTATAAGAGGTATAGGTATAGGTATAGAAAGAAGGAAGAGAGCTAGGCTACTATACCTTATATAGTAGCCTTCTGTATATATAAGTTAAAGCTTTATTAGCAATAGTTAGAGTTTAGTTAATATAGGTAACTTTTATTAAGATAAGCCTATACTTTAACCTACCCTAAAGGGGTTATCCTTAAATTATAGAAATCTTATTATATAAATGATAAAGAATATATAGAAAAGTATAATACTTACTTAATTATAATACTTGCTTATTATATATATTATAGTTAAATATAGTATAATATAATAATAAAAGGTTTAAGTTAGGATTTACTAAAAGAAGAATAATATTAATTAAGGTAATAGGCCTTAGGAATAAGACCCTAGGAAAGGAGAGATTATATTATAATTAAAGTAGTTATATATATATACTTTATATTTTTTATTTCCTTACTTATACTAACCTTTAATAATATAACTAATTATTAAAAGACTAATACTTATATAAACTAATAGTAGCCTAGGACTATATTATACTAGGACTAATAGTATTCTAGCTTATTATTATTCCCTTTATAATTATAGTAGTATAATATATTTAATAAGTAAGTGCTTTAGTAAAGTAAGTACTTTAAAAATCCCTTAACCTTATATTTAACTATTTAATTAATTAATTCCTAACTACCTAATATATTATAACCCTTAAATAAGGCTAGGATTCTTCTTACTCTTTAAGCTATTTAAAATAACCCTAAACTAATCCTATAATATACTATAGATATCTATAAAGTTGACTACTTTACTTTATATTACTACTAGATTAGTATTTAATTATAATACAATTTAATACTAAATTTATAAAAGCTATCTAATTAGAAAGAGAATATAATAGTGTAATTTATTCTTAACCTAGATTTACAAGGATTTCCCTTATAATTATATTTTATAAAAGAAATAGCTAATTCCCTTCTTACTAACTATAATATACTCCCTATTAATATATACTAGGCTTATAACTTTATTAAGTAATAACTAGAGCTAAAGATATATTTATTTTAAAGATATAACTACTAAAAAGCTAAATATAAAGATCCTATAATTATTTATAGCTAATTTTAGCTTATAAAGAATATAATTACAAAGTATAGTATTTAATTAAATAATATTTAGAACTTTAATAAAACTATCTTTATAATAGGTATTATATAGTTTAAAATAGTTATTATAAGCTTAGAAAGGTAAAGAAAACTAAAATTAATATAGCTAGGAAACTATAAATAAATTACTATAATCTAGGTAATTAATACTAAAGATTAATTAATCTTACTATTTATTATTAGTATAAGCTAATATTACCTTACAAATTAGTACTAAAAATACAATCTCCCTAGTAATTAGGCTATTATATTAAGCTAAAACAAATAGATAAATAACTAGCTAAGTCTTAACTAGCTAAAGTACTTTAATAAGTCTATAGTTAAGTAATTAATTAGTTTCTATTACCTTTTAATCCTTAATAGTTATAAAAGTTATTACTTTATTAACTTTAAAAAATATTATAAGAATAATAAGATTATTACCTTTTATATACTTACTTATATATCTTATCTACTTTAGCCTCTTAATATTAGGTATTTTATAATACTTAAGAAGGTATATAGGTAAAGGATAAAGTATCTAATTAAATACTTTATAACCTATATTTCTAAGACTAAGTTCTTTAATACCTTTTATACTACTTTTAAAGCTACTTTTACTAAAAGTAATATATAAGAAAGCTTTAAAGAAACTAGGCTTACTCCCTTTAACCCTAATTATATTATCTTAAAGCTTAATATATAGCTATAAACTATATTACCTTCTAAGGAAGTAGCTAAGCCTTTCTTTCCTTAGACTTTAAAAACCTTAATAATAGTAAATAAGGCTTAATCTTAAACTAAATACCTTAAGAGTTAACTTAAAAGGTATTATAATAACTTTCTAGAGTTAATTATTAAGGTTATTTAATCTCTTACTAAGATAGTAAAAAGAACTATATATAAAACTATCCTAATAAGAAATAAGATTTAAAACTTTTAAAAGGGAAATAAGAAGCTAAGCTAGTACTAAAAGTTAAAAAGAACTAAATTATAAAAAGGAAACCCTATAACTATAAAGAAAGTATTATAAGTAATTAATTAATTAGATAGATATTAATATATAGATAGTAAGTAAGTTATTAAGAAGTAGTAGTTAAGGAAGGTTAGTTAAACTAGGTATTTAATAATATAGTATATATAGTAAAACTAGGTATAATATAAGGATCTATTAGGTAGTTCTAAAGGTATCTAGAAAAGAGTATAGTAAGTAATTTTAATTAATTAAATAGGTTATATTACTTTTATTAGTAATTAAAAGATAATAGTAAGGATTTTTAAAGTACTTGCTTTACTAAAGTACTTACTTATTAAATATATTATATATATTTACTTAGTATTAGTATACTTAGCTTAATAGCTATTAATAATACTTCTTTATTTAAATACCTTTTATTTACTATTAAGAGATGTAATATTAATATATTACTTAGTACTATACTTTATAACTCTATTAAATATAAACTTAGAATAGACTAGTTTACCTATTTAGAAACCTAACTATTACAATATACTAGTACTAGGAGATAGTAAAAGGAGCTACTACTATTAGCTATAATAAGCAAAGATAATAGCTACCTAACTATAGGAGAACTATAATTTAGCTATAACCTATGTATATTTAATTACTAATATAATTTAAAGTAAATTAAAGCTAAGGATAGCTTCCTCTAGAGGGGGGGATAATAATTATTATATACGTGTAATAGTTAGTTAGGAGGCTAGGTAGGTTTAATAATAATATTGTACTAAAGCTTAAAGAGTCTAAAACGAGGTTGTGGGTAATAAGGGGTATTATCCCTTACGAAGGTCTAATAAGCCGGGGTTTAGCTAGGTTACGGGACCCGGCTAATAAGGCTGAGGTTGTTTTGTAAGGTGATCGTAACAAAACCAAATCGACTATATCTGAGCGCCTTGGCGGCGCATAGAATTGTTTCATCTTAAGGTCTGCTCCCCATCCGCCAGGCTCAGTCAGGCACCTTTGGATGTGCTCTTGGTCATAGGGGTTTTTAACGTCGCTAGTGTACGAGTAAAGTCTGGTTTAGTCGTGCAATTGAACATTTGTAGTAGCCGTCGCCCGAGTATGAGATGTTAATTACACATCTTTATCTTACAACAGATTCTATAGCTATTACAGGCCCTTCGTAGTCTTGATGCTCTATTTTATCTTCCAGTTGCCCAATTTCCACTCGTCATTCTTCCCTCCCATTATTCAGGACCGCACTTGCGACGACCAACACCAGTAAACCAGCTCACATTAGAGTACTTTCCATCAGCGTTACACTTGTTGTCGCCCTTACCAGCGTAACGGCATTCATCTTGGCAGGAGCCCTGAGGGAGCTATGCACATTCAACGGGTCAGGCCACTATAACATAGAGAGGGTATCCAGATTATATGACTTACAAGAACACAACAGTGGGAGCCATCCGCATAGAGGCACTGGCAAACCTTTGTCAGGTTGATGGCAGCAGCGCTGCTAATGGCAGTAAAAATAACAGCGAGGACGGAAAGTCGGACCATGTTGGTGGTTTTGTGCTGGTTTTGATGTCGGTGCTTTGTTGGGTGTAGATAAAGAAGGATGCGGAGGTAAATTACTCCTGGGTTGACTGACGCTTAAGTAGCTATTGACCCTATTCCCATATTACGGATAGAAACAAAGCTCTTGTGACGGATCTGTGTACAACATGTTCCAGTGGTACCAACCGGGTTCTCAACCAGGTATCTAGAAGTTCAAAGAGACGAGACAAGGGAATTGACTCAGCACGCCATTAGAGTTCAGGCCGAGTTCCGCAGTGGAGCACGTCAGTGGACTGCCAAGCCGCTTCTATCGTACCAGATGAACTGATACTCGAGGCCAGTTATCTGTCCACGTGCAGGCTATCCATATTTGTGAGAAGTAGTGGTGGAAGAAAGGGTTGGCCTATCTCGTCGATTCTCATTAATTAGATGTCACAACCAAACGAAGTCACATTCACGTCAGTGTCTAGACTACTACACCTCATTTTTGCATAGTCTTGTGAGTGTCTCCAAGAGAATATTCGTTGCTACCATGTAGGCAACATAATAAAGCAACCTAAGTACTGGTTCAAGCTGCCATAAAGTGATTAAATTATTTCGTCTTTTATGCTTGAGCGTCAATTCTTCTCAATTCTCATACCCTGAGGGTTACTAGGATGTCCTGGAGATATCGCGCAATATAAGTGTGAACCCTGTACCCTGTAGATGTCATTCCCCGCATATGTCAGTGTCAGCCCGGCATCTTGGCCGAACAAGTCACTATCTATCTCACCGACAACAACCCACAGAATAGCGTTTAACAAAGTCCCACCCCAATTTCCCTGTTGCAACTGCCGACATGGTGCCACATTCGAATATTCGTTTGTAAAGTTGGTTTTCGTATAGGCCGTCTCACAGCCGTATAGGTATCAGAGAGCAGTTTGTTGAATAATTGAATGATTGTTGACAATTATCAGTGCAAAATCTATATCTGTTATTCTACTAATGGATATATTTAGGAGGTGTTTGACTGAAGCGTTGTCGTTAAATGGTCTACGAAGTACATACTTATCTTAGATACCCACGTGGGACCTTGAGATGGAACTAGCATGGATGATGAAATATCCATCGGCAACGTTGCAAAGATCTCCCAGCGCCAAGAAAGCCGGAAAAGCTGATAGTGTATTGATGTATCTACCGATTCGTGGAATTGAGACTTTCGGCCCTACAGACTTCCGTTTGCTGGGGTAAACCCAGAGACCGTTGCGACTAACACGAGCTTCACGGACTTCGGCACGATACCCTTGCTGCTGTCAAAGAAGGATACCGGATTTTAGCCGAGTCACAAAGATACTACACTTGATGTCCCGGGAGAGGCCTTTAAAAGTCTGGGTGTCCCATTCCCATAGTGAACGATACGAGCCTTAGCACAACTCTGCACTCTATCACCCATCTTCTAGTCTACCTTCACCATCTCTAAATCGCCAGAATGGTCCGTCTCGCAATTCTCGCCACTATCCTCGCCGCCACCTCTGCCCAGGCTGCTATATGGTGCCAGTGTCTTTTCCCTGATGCATCTCACTGCTGTGTTCAAACAGTAAGTCATAGTCACTTGCTCCCCCCTTACAATGCAGATGTGAAAAAGAAAAGAGTAGGTGCTGACCTGGGCACCTTTGCCATAACAGGGAGCCGGAAGCTGCGAAGAGAAGTGCGCAAATGCCGCCAAGCCACTGCCTTGGGATGGCGGTGCCTTGACTCAGCGAAGCCAAAGATGCAATGCTGGCGGCAAAGGATTTGGAATCAGCCCTATTACTGCTCAGGGACGTACTCAATGTGTTTAGTTGACGTTCTTCTGGACGCGTTATCTTAGACACGCCTGGGTTTCGCGCCCAGGGAAGAGTCGGATGGTGGAGGAATATTCGAATCCGTACATATTCACACGCATTCATATGCATACAATCCAATCGCTCGGGCTTTGCTCCCAGCCATAGCCTCGTGACCTTTTCGTCCAATCTGCGCCTGAAAACTCCAACCAGTTATCAATAGCTCTAGAAGCGGCCTCCCGATTGAATGAATGTGGCTAGCCGTGGTCATGATACATCTGCCCCACACATTTTACGTCTAGGTCTGTTTCCCATTGTTGAGTTTGACTGTTCTCATCACCAAAAGTGATTCGTTCTTTTCCTTCGCGCTCCGGTGCTTTCTCCGCCTCGGTTGTAATCCTGGTACCCACAGGTATCAGCTTTAAGGTTTTATACTGTTTCCTTGACATTGGAAAGGAAGTCTTTGACTGGGATCGCAAATGTCTTACCAGCCTTTGACACCTGCTCAATCATCTCGCAACCTTTGACAAGAGGCCATAAATTGCGGTCGCCGGCCCCAAAACCTTCAGCGATACAAATGACATCGCTTGGAAGCTGCTCATCCTCTAATGACCAGAACTCCATGAATTGATAGATTTCAGTGTAGTTTTTGAAGTCGTTGGGGGTCCAAAGAGTGGAATCCAAGATTCTAAATCTACATACAATGGATTTGGGATGTTGTCGGTTTGAACCACAGCAGATGGCACGTAACTTCAACAGCCAAATCGGATTTCAGATGTGATTTTGGGCCGTCCAGTAGGTGGAGGAACTTTGAGGTTGGACTTGCGGTAATTGAGGGTGGTCATGAACGGAAAGGAATGCAGAAACAAAGACGCGATCTCTTGAGGTGATGATCTTGGCTTATCGGAGCCTTAACAATAGTCTGAGTCATAAGATCCAACGTCTTAGAAGGGAGGCGACGGTAACTTCGCCTCACCAGGTAAGTTGGAAAATAGCTTCATTAACTTTACAAGAAGTAAACAAATCACTTGATAAGATTGAGACACCAGCCACTTATTCAGCCAGTAGTGTCGTACCTGGACTCATCGACGTCTCAATCGCCCACACCGTGCCTCTGTTGCCACTCTGGGAACGGGATATCGCTTCTAGAAAGTTGAATTGAAGGCAGCCCTTATCATCCTCCTTCTTGCTGTTGCAGCTCATTTGATTCGTGATTGAACGCAGTGCTTACGTATGCGTTCTTTTGCCACATCGATCTTCACACTCACTGCTATAACTTACTCAGCAACGGTTTTTCAATCTTTAACTCCCGTTTCAGCATGCAACTTCACCTCCCATGTGAGGACTATTAAAGGGACTCTTATAATACACTCAAGCATAATATACATGTCTCGAGGCTCTGCAAAGTCTTCGGATCTCTACTCTCTAGTCAAAAAGTCCAAGTACGGTAGATCGCTGTTGGAATAATGACGACCTTAGTGTAGGGTAAGATGCCAAGAAACGCAGTGGTGATTGCGGTACCAGCATGGCGGATCAGAGCTGTTATTGGAAACTGTGTTTGCAGGATAACTTTCGCCGCAGTGTTAATACAAAATTTAAAATACACCTTGATTGCTTCCCAGTAAGGTTGTGCGACTCCCACCGACTTCGTCGCCTGGTGGCACCACACATCACGGCTTATCTTTTTATACTACTTAACCGGGTAATCCACCGCCGTTCATCAGATGCGCTCAGCAACTACGACTGATGATAGAACGTAATAGGATAAGTCGAAGAAACTTCTTGAACGTATCAGAGGAATCTGTTCAGACCAGCATTCGCGAGAATTGCTTCAATTGTTCAAGCGCGTCGCCTGGTGGGGCTCCATCCCATCAAGCCAGAGACGAACTTCAGCTGAGAACTTATTTAACCATAGGTACCAAAAGTTCAAACGTCACATCATCCCAGGTCATTTAATTATATATATCTGCAACACCTGAAAATGACATCTTCGGCCCGTCGGCAGCTAATTCCATGGTCCAGTCGCGTCATGTGGATCCAAAACGCATAAACATTGCTGATCACAAAACACAAGTCGTTTCAAACAAGGCTAATCTCGATAAATCCACCAATCCACTAAGCTTGTTGTAGAACATTTCTCCGTTACGGCTGAAACAACCGGATATGTGGGACGGGGAAACGGGTTATCGTGGGTCGATTCAAGGCGGATCATTCATGCGCACGTTGCAACAAGTGCCCTTTAGTATTTAGATAAAAGCTCAATGAAATCCTGTTGGCGACTTTCCTCCCAATCTCAAACAGTTGATCTGTATAGACAAGATGCGTGCCTCAATTAATTCCAGCCTTCTCATCCTGGCCAACGCTCTGGCAGCCAAGGCGCAGGGTCAGTCATGTCCCGAGATTCACATCTTTGGTGCTCGTGAGACATCCGTGGCACCGGGTCTTGGTTCGGCTGGTAAGCTGATTGACATGATCGTGGCTGATCATGCGGGCGCGACTTCAGAAGCCATTGACTATCCTGCCTGCGGTGGTCAGGCCTCTTGTGGGAATGTCGAGTATGGTGCTTCCGCGAAACAGGGTACTGAGGCTGTCACCAAAGCTGTCAATGCTCTTAGTGAGAGGTGTCCCGATACGAAGATTGTCATGATTGGCTATTCTCAGGTATGTTTACCTCTTCGTTTTCTCTTATTTGACTAACTGATTACCAGGGCGGTCAAATCATGGATAACAACATCTGTGGAGGACCAGACAATGGAGCTTCCATCTCCGATTCCACAGTTCCTCTCTCGGCTAGCGCGGTCAATCAAGTCAAGGCTGTCGTCATGTTGGGTAACCCTCGTTACATCAATGGTCTTGCTTATGGAGTGGGTACTTGCGATGCAGGCGGCGTAAGTTTATCTAGACATGACATCCACATATAGCATAAGCTAACAGATCCCAGTTCGATGCTCGACCCGAAGGCTTCACTTGCCCCAACGCCGACAAGGTCAAGATTTACTGCGACGCCGAAGATCCTTTCTGCTGCAACGGCAATGATTCAGCTCATCACCAGCAATACGTTGAGCTCTATGGCAAGGAAGCTTTGGAGTTTGTCAACTCTAAGCTCTTCGGCACTGGAGTTGGAGCTGGTGGAAATGCTGGTAACGATACTGACACTGGTGCTGGAAGCGGCGGAGAGGCCGGTAACGATGCTGGCAACGGAGGAAACAGTGGAGGCAATGCAGGCGGCAACGCTGGTGGAAACACTGATGGTAACGCGGGAGGAAATGTTGGTGGTGATGCCGGCGGAAACACTGGCTTCCCCGGAGGAAACACCGGAAACGGCGGTGGTAACAACGGTTTTCCCGGAGCCAACACCGGCAACAACGGAAACGCTGGAAACCAAGGGAATGCTGGCGTCGCTCAGAGTGGCAACAAGTGTTAAGAGTAGACGAGCAGTAAAAGGAATACCATCGTATTTTGATCAATAAAAGATCCACACTTATGACCAGCCATTGATCGTCTGAACTCCCATAGTCCACTTTTGGTTAATAGGTGGGTGAGAAAAGAACTGTCCTCTTAGACTTAGGAAGCTGAAATAAAGTCGCCTAAGAGCTTGTCTAAACTAGCCTTAGGTGACCAAATGACTTCATCACTCATGATCTTGGCGGCTGGTTCTTCCGATATACTTCACGGACAAGGCCAAGGAAAAAAATAAGTAGTGAATTCAATTGAACTAAATGGCTATCAAAGCGAAAATTACCTCCACATATAATATTACCTATAAGGAGACACGGTTTTGTACTTTCATCCCAGTGAGCTGTGGAAGCTCACAGCTTGTGCTCTCCCATCTTGCGAGGTCTAACCTTGTTATGAAACATGTGGTCAATCTCGTCGTATCGTCGGCCCTTGAGCTCGGGAACAAAGATCCAGCTCCAGGCGAAACCAAGAAGCCCAAGTCCACCAAATATAAAGCCAACTTTGCCCTTGAGGTTGCCCTGATCAGGGTTCACCATGTATGGGATAGCAAAGTTCATAGCGACACCCATGACGGACTGGGTAGCAGTAGCCAAAGCCATGGTCTTAGCCTTGAGTGCCAAAGAAGCTGTCTCACCCAGCACTGCAAAAGCCATGGCACCAACGGTGGCGAAGTAAACGTAGGCGTAAATGACTGTGCAAGCAGCCTGGACCCATTTGGCAGCCGCGGTAGGAACCACATCCATGATGCCAATGAGGAACAGGAGGATAGTCAGACCTCCCATACCAGAGAGAAAGACTTTGCGTCGACCGAAAGAATTGACAACGAACCAACTGCAGATGTTACCAAGAACACCACATGCTGTGACGCCAACACCAAGGTCGAAGCTGCGGGACTCCTCAAGACCAGCAAGTTGGAAGAAGTAGGTCGAGTAGCCAAGAACAAAGATGATTCCGACAAAGTGCTGGCAGATGAACACTCCCATGCTGATCATGGTTCGAATGAGGTCTGTTCCTTTGAAACATTGCGCCCACGATGGTTGTTCAACAGAAGCCGCTTGCTCCTCAGCAATAGTCTCTTGAACGGTAGCCAGCTTGGCATCAACGTTGACAGATGAACCGTACAGCTTGATGATGGACTTCTTGGCCTCTTCGATCTTACCCTTGCGAACGAGATACCACGGTGTCTCGGGCGCGAAAGGCAGTCCAGCCGCAAGAAGGACGATGAAGATGCCCTGAGTAGCGAGAGCGCCTCTCCAAGCCCACTGATCCGTTCGTTCTCCAAAAGCCTTGATGACACTGTTCGAAACAAGCTGACCGATCGCGATGCCAAGGTTGACACCTGCAGTCGCAATGCCACGAAGTACAACGGGTGAGATCTCAGACGTAGCCAGCGGAGCAAGGGTAAGGAAGAAACCCAACGCAAGACCGAGGACGAGCTTGGACATGAGGAAGGCAACATTGGTGTGGGACATGCATTCTCCGATTGTACCGCCGGTCGCTAAGAGGAGGGCCATGGCGAGGGAGTTCTTTCGACCGACTTTGTCGCAGATGTAGGAGCAGATAAATCCACCAAAGAAACCACCTACGGAGGTGATGGTGTTGAAGGCTGTCTGCCAGTCGGCGGGGAGGATCGCTTGGCCGTCTTGTACGTAGCCGAAGTCACGGCGGAAGGAGGCGACGGAGATCATGGCGCCGTTGATTTGTGCATCAAATCCCCTAAGGTTGTTAGTCATTGCGTGTAGAGAGTCTCGTGTCTTTACCATCCGATAGCAGCGATGGACCAGTAGAAGCACCAGAGAATGATCTTTGGATGTTGGCGAAAGCATTGCTTGAGAGTGAGTTCATGCTCAGCTTGGCGGTCTACCTGAAGAGCATTGGACTTATCGTTGACGAATTCCGTTCCAGAAACTTTGGCCTGGAGCTCGAGATCTGACTTGCCGGAGGACTCCATGTTGGATTGATCGGTTGTGGATGCAGTGCTGGGTGGAGATGAACCAGAGGGTCATCTCTTTCTTATATATAGCGTTCCATCTTGATGTCGTATCGGATGAGATCGCATGACAAGAAGATTCAAGTCTCAGCTGAAGAAAAAAACAAGGTGTTTAGCTGGGTCTAAGCCAGTCTGGGGTAGTGGAGCGATCGTCTGTCGCTCCAACCTGGGGATCGCGGGGGAAGACTAGTCCCACTTCGTACCTTATGAGCGACATTCCCCGATGAGTAGCGGTGGCACGCTCCGAAAGTAAAAAAGAGCGATACTCCGCGACGAAATCCCTCGCTGTCCTTCACACTTCATCCGCTTCCTACTACTGTACTCTTCAATGACAAAATGACTCCGCAAGCGTCAGCCGATCCCCAACAACCGGAACGCCGCAAGAGACCAGCTCCACGTGGAACAGCCTTCTACCCCCGCAAACGAGCCAACACAGCCTGTCAAGTCTGCCGAAGTCGAAAGACAAAATGCGATAACCTCAAGCCATCATGCTCCTATTGTCTCCGCGTCGGGGCGAACTGTATCCAGTCCCCGGTTGATCTCTCCTCGTTTGACCCCGCAAGTCTCAAGATTCTAGAGCGCCTGGACGACCTGGAGAAGGTTTTGAGGGAGACCAGAAATGAAGCCCCGACAGTTCGGGAACTAACACCTGAAGATGTACCTGGAGAGGGGGAGCTGTCTGGAATTCCCCTGAGGAGCATCTTGCCAGAAAAAATGGAGTCTCTGCTTCTTTGGTCTGTTCTCTCCCGCGACATGTCAGCCCATACAACCCTGCAAAACGACCCTCCCCAACCATCTCCGTCTTATTCCCCGGGCTGTTCATCTCTATCAGACATCGATACCCAGGGTGTCAAAGTGCTCTTGGATAACTTCTTTGATCATATCCACTGCAAGAATCCCATTCTGGAAGAAGCAGCCGCGAGAAGGGTAGTTCTCAATGTTATCATAGAGGGAATCGACTGGTCCCCCGATTCATGCTTGACGTTACTCATCTGTGCTTTGGGAAAAATCGCTACGCCTCTTGATGCGACTTACCATCTTCGAGCTGATTCGACCCCATATTTGGAGGCGCAAGCTTTGTTCCAAGCAGCCCAGAAGAGGATTGGAACTCTCATGGCCAGGTCGGATATTATATCCGCACAATGCTTCTTTCTTTCGGGAGTGTTTCTCATGAGCACCTTTCGACCATTCGAAGCTTGGCGCTACTTTTCTCAAGCGTTGGCGACATGTCAAACATTACCTTTTCTCCAAAGAGCAAGTGTCTCGGAACCAGATCAACAACTGGGTGAAACTCAGCAAGAGGCTGTGTACTGGTCGGCTTGGAAGTCTGAACGAGAGCTTCGAGGGGAATTATCTCTTCCAGATTTTAGCATGCCTTATGCCTCGAGTGTGCTGTACCCTCCATTCTTCCCTACGCCGCCTCACCCTCTTGAGTCGACCAAGACTACGGCGTCTCGCAGACAGAATACAGCTTGGTTGTTCTATCTGTCCGAAATTTGTCTGAGGAGAATTTCCAGTAGGACGTGTAATGACATCATGGAATTACATCGTGCTTCGAGCTGCAATATGGACTTCTTAAGACAGCTTGCTCTTCTCGTCCCATCGTACGAGACGCAAGCAAACGAATGGTCCGAAAGCCTTCCGCCAGAGTTATCCATATCATCAACCCCAGTAGAAGACAACGTCTGTTGCTTCGTTCTACGCGGCCATCTGGTCAACTTCTACGAACGTCTCTACTGGCCATTCGTCATGGCCCATCTTGCAGCACTTGAACAAGGAATCCCAACACCCATTCCGGGCAGACGATTTGTAGACAAAGGATTAGAGTATCACGTGTTGAACGTAGAGGTCAACGAAGCTGGTTTCTTACATCGTCATCACGGCACTTGGCTTATGATCCGGGCGCTTGTGCGTTCTGCGACAGTTTTGCTTGCTGCTCGGCTATTGCGCTCGGGAATGCCAGCTGGGTGGCATGATGCGTGTGAGAGGATAATGCAGGTTTTGAGAGCGTGGGAGGTTGATGTGCCAGGGTTGGCGAATCATCGGAATTTCTTGGAGGAGGTCCTGCATGGCTTGCCGGATGCTTGAGACTTGATTGATGTAAGAAAATATCAGTAATGATAACGACATAAACTGTTTCAATAATTTTGTCTTTTACTAGTCTTACGACTTCCCCGACTCTTGGCATGTCATGAATTGGTCCACTACGTGCGGGGTATGATTTATGGTGGTGTCGAGGTAAAAGACTATCGGGGAGTGTCGCCCGTAACGAATCCTCTGGTGACTCCACTTGAGGACGTTCAAAGTATTTAGGTCAAGACCAATACTGGCTTCCATCCATCAAACACTTCATGATATCCGTTTTATCCCCATCCCTTCTCTATTCTGCCAATCCTCATCATGGTCGTAACAACAGATGCTTCCGGCTCCTACGAGGCTCGACCTCAGTCTACAACCTGCAAGATGCTCCACACAGAGGGAAGCAAGATCGTCGACCCCTCGGGTAACCAAGTCATTCTCAAAGGCACCGCCATCGGCGGCATGCTCAACATGGAGAACTTCATAACAGGCTATGCAGGCCACGAATTCCAACATCGCCAGCAAATGGCAGAAGTTCTCGGTGAAGAGAAGGCCAATTACTTCTTCGATAGACTTCTCCACCACTTCTTCACAGACTCAGATGCTGCTTACTTCGCTTCACTGGGTCTCAACTGCATTCGTATCCCATTTAATTATCGTCATTTCATCGATGATATGGAACCCGACAATCTCAAGCAATCGGGATTCGATTGGTTGGATCGTTGTGTGGATATCTGTGCCAGACACAACCTTTATGCTGTTCTTGATCTGCATGCCGTTCCTGGCGGTCAGAATCAGGATTGGCATAGCGACTCTGGTCTCTCCTGCGCAGCATTCTGGGATTTCAAGGACCATCAAGACCGGGCTACTAAACTCTGGGTAGCTTTGGCCAAACACTACAAGAGTAACCCCTCCATCGCTGGCTACAATCTCCTTAACGAACCTGCCGATGAGTCCAAGACTCCTTCAGGCCACTACGGCGATAGACTGATTAAGTGGTACGAACGCGTTGAGAAGGAGGTCAGAGCCGTTGACCCCGACCACATGATATTTATCGACGGCAACACCTACGCCATGGACTTCCGCGCCTTCCCCAACAAGCCTTTTCCCAACGCTGTGTATGCCTGCCACGACTATAGCTTCCTCGGCTTTCCCATCGGAGAGCAATACGAGGGCACAGACGATCAAAACGCCAAGTTACGCAGTAGCTTCGAGCGCAAGGTGCAGTTCATGAGAGAGAAGAACGTACCTATCTGGAACGGCGAGTTCGGTCCTGTATATCAGAATGAGCATAAGGAGGGAGAGGAAGGTGTAAAGACCAACGAGAAGCGCTTCAATCTTTTGCAGGAACAACTTGCTATCTACAGAGAGACAGATGTCAGCTGGTCAATTTGGCTGTACAAGGACATTGGTTATCAAGGAATGGTGTACCTTGACCCTGAGTCCCCCTACATGCGACTCATTGCACCTTTTGTGACGAAGAAACAGCGTCTGGGTCTTGACTTCTGGGGCGTCGTCAATAAAGATGGCGTCAAGCATCTGTACGAGCCGTTCATCCAGGGTTTGAAGGATGAGGTGCTGGAGAAGTACAGAGATACCAAGTATCCCAAGATCTGGACATTCGAGCGTCAGTTTGAACGAGTTATTCGGGAATGTCTTATGAGTGAGTATGTGGGTTGGGAGTTGGCGGAGCTGTTCAGAGACAAGAGTAAGGATGAGCTTGAGGAGTTGGCGAGTAGCTTTTCGTTTGAGAAGTGTATCAAGAGGGATAGGTTGGTTGGTATTTTGAGTCATGATTCTAAGAGTTCCGGAGGAAAAGCAGTAGGGTAGTACATCGCACACGCTATCTGGAGTTTGGTCAATGAAAAAAAAAACATTTTAGATAACTTGAGGCAGCGACATTGAGCTCTATGAACGTTGAGTCATCCTACGCGACCTTAGACTAGCAATTTTCGTCTTTTTTCAAGACACTGCTGTAGTGAATACCGACGTTTCACAGCGGACAAGTAGTCACAAGACATCCTGAAGTTCTCAATTCCTAACTATCGTCTCTCATAGCCAACTTTTTGAAACCACAATGCCCTCCCCACCTTGTATGCATCGAATCATTTGCCCATACGACTACCGGTTCGCTTTACCTTTCCCTTGTCCAACTCCTTCTGATAACCCTTGAGCGCGTCCATGTTGCTGTCCCGCTGCTTGTCGAGGCATTGAGTACACCTGTCGTAGGCACTTACGACGTCTCGAGTTCCCTGACTGGGACTAGTACATCCTCTCCCGCAAGGCACCAACATCTCGTCAGTCCCCAGCTTCGTCTTCTTGCATTCCATGCATAGGGTAGTAACCCAAGTCTTGGTACACATGTTATTTGTTCGGGGTGGGTTGTATTGATAAGATGATCAATGTTGTGATGTTGTTGATCTGTGAGGTGCGCTGTCTGAGTTGTTGATTGTAAGCTGTCTGGTCGTCAGGACTAAGCCTTGTCTATATAGATCATATTCGACGGGCAATTCGTTACTGGCGCTGTGAGCAGCGACTCCCATTCATCGCACAACAGTAGCTGCAAATGTTCACCGTCGATGGACCGCACTTTTAAACTGTCGTTGTTGCAGTGGCCTTTCTGATTCCTAGACAAAGTGATTAGTTGGACACAACTTGACAGCTAACCACTCATGGACCTCATTATGATTAAAGGATCTCGACGTGGAAAAAAGTGCCATCGTAGATTGAGTCGCATGGTAATCTTTATTTGCATGTTTGGACAGAGCGTATCGTCGATGGGAGCTGATGGAGAATTGGATACAAATCTGTATGCTGTGGGCTGTCACCTATGGAGAGTTTGGGGGAGGCGGTTAGCGACAGCAATCATGGCTGGGGTGCTGGTAAAGATGGTGGCGAGAACTTAGCGAGAAGTTTTGCTCACCAAACATTCCTAATCAACAACACACGAACAGTTTTTGACCAAGGCCTCTTGAACTTGCACCAATTCTGATGGGCACAAGATATAAAGAATTCATCGATTAGGCAGCCAATTCATCTCCAATATGGTTATGACCGAGGGTTGAAAAAATCTCGTCCTACCAGTCTTCCGCAGGGTAGGGCCTGGCCAACACAGAGACGCCCTATATTTCCAGCGCTAAGTCCACTAACTCTGAAAACCAGCTCCCATCCACATTTCGTCACACTCGCGACTCCATCGTGATCCCCCTCTGCGCCAATCTGTTCGACAATGCTCTTTGTTTGCGACCAGGTACTTCGGTAGGCCACCGGCCTGGCGTTTGAGCTGTAATGATCTGCCAATCATTCACAAGCCCAACTTCAGCGTCGCTTGCGATACTTGCCAGTTTACCAACAAGTTCTGACTTTTGACGAGCGGTGGACCAACTGCACTTGAACGCACCACTCATAGCAATAGGTGTTCGTCGAAATCAGTCTTCAAGTGCGACGTTGTGAACCAATTGTGGTCAATGCCTCATTAGCCGTTGCTCTTGCCACGGACTAAACTACTGGCCGAAGTCTCTTGGGAGGCCAACTTCATACTGCTGGATGAGTTCCTGATCGATCCTCCTGTACCTATCCCTGGCCTTCAAACTGCCAATCAAGACTTCCTCGCTTTTGGATTTCTTCTTCCCTTCGTCTGTTTGATCCTGACTTCTGCCAATTCTGTATCTTCACCTCCAGGCTACCGGCAGTCTTGTCCAAATCTCTCAATCCCATTATCTCCACGCCAGGATGATCCATGAGTAGAAAGGGAAGGATCGAGCTCTTCCAGGCATTCCTTCTGTTCGTATCCCTCGCCACGGTCAATACCAGCAACAGCGACGACACCACGAGTAATGCTCCTGGTAATACAAGCCATTTCCATGCTATGCGAGCGCAAATACGACTTCCCCAAGCAGTGCCGTTCACGAGGGGCTGTGCGTCTGAGAAAGGGCCTCGTCCAACCTTTCGCATTTCATTTGTGATTCGCATGGCGACAGACTCCATTGTATCTTCTATGTGCTGCATAGATATAGTATTATTGATAAAGAGTGCCGACGATGAAACGGTCTTGGCAAAATCATGCTGGGAGGCCCTACATACAAGCTGATCATAGACTCAGAAGCCCAATTCTTAGCGTGGAATACCAATTCCCTGGGGTTAGGAATGGTATGCGATGGGGAGGACATATTCAATGTTGTGAACAAGGTGCCGTTGACCAGACATGGCTGCATGATACCTTTCCAGTCGGCTCTCAAGGGCCCAGATCCTGCCGACAAGAGTGGTCCGTACAACCACTGCTTCCTCATAGGGACATCCCAAACCACCGTCTCCTCTGGTTTAGAATCTCTAAACTGTGCGCGGTAGTATCTTATGCAGGGATATATGATGCAGGCGGCCGCTGCATAATCGGTGGGCCGTCCATTGAGTCGCCTTGAATCCACGAAGCAACTCCGATTCTCTCGAGACTCCTCACTACATGTATTTGGACAGGTTATGTTTGAATCCGGTCCGATGCCGCAATGGTCTTCGGATATGCCTAGCAAGGTAATATTTGCGATAGACCAACGTGCGCGGTTCAGCAAGTCAGGCGTGGCAACCTGGTGGGTCCAAGATAGGTTCATTCCTGTTGCAACGTTAATATATGTGCCGTGTTCCAACTCCTGGATATCCCCAAGAGCAATTCTCATCCTCTCTCCACCAACCTCGACGGGCAGTGAATAATTGATCGGGAGTGTGGGTCCGGAGGGTCTCTCATGTCGGACCAGGTTATATAGATCGATACATCTGCTGCACATACCAAGACTTGAATGTGATAAAAGATTTGTATTGTCTTGAGAGTCGGAGTAAGTCGCAAAGGTGCAGTTTCCAGAAGGGTAGTTGAATAACGAACTGACGTCATTTGGTGATACCATTGCGTCGCTCATCGCTATTTTCATCTTGACGTTCAATTGCAAATTAGCCATGAGAGTAGTGAAGTCTTCCAACTGAATGGTATTTGCGACAGCTATAGTGGCTGTTCCATCTTCCGGCCGCATCTCTCGAAGACATTGGTATGTTTGGATTGACTGCTGAGTAAAGGAGCCAATGCCTAGTGTTAGTACTGCAACGGCGATAGCACCCAGTGCCACGAGGTCCCGAATCATAATAACAGGGACTAGACGCAGACATCCAAACATGCCTCGCGAGGCACTGTCAAATATCTCAACGTCCCGCCTGGGTTTGAAGCTGTCGTGCGAGAGCCAAGTCCACTTGCGCTGCGCAATGATCTCGAAGGTAATTAGCGCCACGATGGCACGAAAGAACGTTCCAAGGATAGATATCAGTGTGTTGAGGGTAAGGCCCATTAAGTCCCAATCTGGTAGCTCTTCTCCGTTATACTTGTTTAAGATTAAGCAAATGGCAGCAAAGAACCCAGTCCCAACACACATCAGAACCGGCTCCAGTCTCCAGACCCATAGGATGCTTTCTTTCTTATTCAATTTCGCTAATTCTCTGCCTTTCGAGTTTCGCTTGTAGCGTGATGCCTTACGGATTGTGATACCAGTGGCACAAGGCGCCCGAGATGGGCCGTCGAGTTGATATCCATTGTCAGATGGTTTTGTAGACCTGAAGCCAGCGTTCGACTCCTCAATGTATGCAAGATGCTCTTGTTCTTCTGTAATATCACGGTTGACGTACGAAGTCGCTGACGAGTAAGGCGGAATATGTTCTTTGAGCAAGTGAATTTGGGAAGAGTCTGCGTCTTCCAAGGGCCCCACAATAGACATATTGAAGTCTTGGGGAACTGGGAAGAAGTGATTCTGCGTGCCGGTTGCTATTTGGAAATCGAGCAGACGGAGCGGGGATATATGAAGTGAGACCATAAACGTCGAGGCCGCAACGGATAACCCTGTGTCACTGTCTACGTCAGTCTACCGTTGCTGACCAACACAGTTATCGTGATCACCTGTTGTGGGTACTGCTCATTGGTATGATTGCCCGAACAAGTAAGCACTGTCCAACGGTAAAGAGGCTTAGATAGACCCAACAAGTCACAGCCTGCCCAAGCTGAACGACCTTGCTGCAAACCATGCTGATATTGTCTGTCAATTAGTCGTACCGGTGTGTCCAGACCGTTGCCTTTTTCACTTCTTTTTTATTACACTCTGGTCACAACCGGTGGTCTTGGCGACCATCTCGATGAGTAAACATCGTTGCCTTGCTTGTGGCCTCCAAATCTGACAACGAATGTTCGGATTCCGATTTGCGATAGGTGTCAGCCCTACCGATCCTTGTTTGCGCTGGCTGAGCAGCCCTTACCAAGCGTCAGCGCTGGGGTCCACTAAATGCGGGTGCTGTAACTGCTGAACGAAATTGCTGAAGTCTTAATGTTCCACTGAACATGCCGAGCAATGATCTTCCATTGTCAGATGCCCAGTTTGTCCATTGACAACGCATTGTTCCCTCCTGTCGACCTCGACATTCCAAGAGAACAATGAATTGATGGTTAAAGTGACGCCGAAGTGGTGCAGCACGTGTTTGTCTGTATGTATCGACCTCGCAGGTTGTGGAATGAGTTGTTGGACAAATGTCTCTTGTATGTCGTCCCCTTGCTTCCCGCACTTGCAACGCGCCGCTCTGGGTTCATAGAAATTGACTGCATCTCTCATTAGAGGCTCAGATAACGCATCAGAAGAATGCTCGTCCTGAAAGTTTACCACCTTGTTAACTCAGAGGGACCACCCTCCCCATGGATGAATGAGATAAAAATCGTAAAATACCCTGTTTACACTACCTCTCTTCCTTCCTAGCATAGACTGGAGCCCCGTGGGTAACAGGACCAATCATCTTACATGGTCACGATGGCCACATGTCCAACACTTGATTCGAACGACCATTTTCTAAACGGGAGGGTACCAGACGAGACCCCCTCTAAGGGTTAGGATTCTTAGGTCTAAATTTGCACATTCTTTCGTCTCTTAGTTCAGGGGGATAAGCTAGGTTTAGGATATTATAATAAAATAACCTATGTACTAGTCTAGGCCCATTCGAAATGACCAAACTGTTTCGTCTCTTATAGTCTCGGCTCAATGTATCCAGCACCGTGACGGGCGAGTTTGACAGGCCTAGGTTTCGTATCATTTCCCGTCGTGATGACGGTCGGTAGGCGCTAAAGTTGAATGGATAGGTCTTTTTTGACGCCACGACCCACTAATGCTTTGCGCTCTCCAGTGGATCAATCACTGAACCGCCTTTAGTGCGAGGGACCCGGTAGTCTTTCAAATTTATGACCCTTGACCTCTCCATATCGTTCGTTTGCCGAAAACTGTGCATGGCTTAAACCTTGGCCGACTCTGATTTTCTCGTCTCTATATCTTCATCGAATGCAGTTTTCACCTGCCACGGACTCATCATCCTCCCGCGCTGCCGAGCACTGGGTCACAACTTTCGAGCTATGAAAACCAGACATGACCTTCTGATCCTTTTCCACCCGCACAATGTTTTCCCAAAATCAGCACTGACTCACCCGTTATCCCCCTTCCTACGCTTGAGTAACTTCTCTTCAAAACTAAGTGTAGGTATAGGCTAATCTCTCCGGCAAAAACAGATGCTCTATTTGACCCATCCTCTCCATCATCGCCCGGAACCTCGACGCCCCGTCGAAAATCCAACGTAAGACGACAGTGCGTCGTCTAAATAAAAAGCGTATCGAGCGAAAGAATGAGAGCGAGCAGGGAAGGGCGAGGTTACAAGCAAACTACGAAACGTTGGAACGATGAGCACAAGGTACGATGCTTTAAGACGGAAAGTCAGGGCACCGAGATCAACGATGACCGAGTATACCATGTCTCACGCAGACAACTATCTAATCTAGACTCGAATTGGGCTTCTTGTTTCACTCAAGCACTACCAAACGCGAGCGACGGAAAAACTTGACCAGTTAGGCCTGCTAAGAAGGATCGAATTGGAGGATCATGGGCTGTGGGTAATGTGGAAGAATGTTTGAGACCATACAGTATTAACCAACTGGCAAAGATTAGTAGATCGAAAGCCTCTCAACTCCAAAACCGACAGGCTCTTTCCATGACGTTTTGGGTCATTCATCTTGGCATCCAAGACCATATCGACACTTGAGGCGTTCTGAACAGACAGACCGCTCTGGACAGACGAAGTTTTTTCTAAGGTCTCTCAAATAATACGGCGATCAATCGGCCCAGATCCCTTGGCCAAGTGATTACGGCTCTAGACATGGATCAACAACTACCAATGAACCGGGTTTAAAGCCCGGGGCCACGTAACCACCATACTGCACGCTAGCGAACCACTCTAAGCAGCTGAGAATCCTTGAAGGTCCATGCACTCAACAGTTGTACTCTTGAACAGGCTAGCTCTGCATCGATTATGGCTTTCAACAGCTCCATTAAATATTGTGAACACTGAGGAAGCTACATGCGAGACGAGTCTTTTAAGTATGTTAGTGTTTTGCCTGGTAACTAAACAGCGTGACTGTTAACCAATTAGGCTTTTCTAAACTTTCATATCCGGTGCACAAGCTAGCTGTTCAATGGCCCGAGTACAGGATAAGATGAACTCAAATAACTTCGGAGGTACCCACTATAGCCAGTGGCACTGTCCCTGACTAGTCGGGCAGTTCATATTGGAAGAGCAGCTGAGCTTGAGAGCAAGATAGCTACCTTCACATTCCACATCTGGCTCACTGGAGGATGGCTACGGGTAGCGAATAGCGCCGATATGTCACATGAGTATCTTCAGTTCATTAAAGATAACTGCAAAGATAGCCTGGGGTCAACTGAAGGAGACGCAGTTTATCAACCAAACTGACTACCCGCCATTATGCTTCGCTCCTGTCGCGATCTGCATCGAAACCAAGTTGGCAACGTCTGGAAGTAGGCGAACAGTCCCATTGTCGCTCTGTACAACATCATGGTTCAGACTTATCTCTGTATTTGGTGTAAAGAGGATTTCTACAGCTCCAATGATCCAGGTGATTGGAGGGCCGTGGTATCTCTGGTTTGCCCCGCTGCATGGAGCCTGGATCGTGATTGCGCAGGAGCTGGACGTTGGCGATGTTGAGACGCTGATGGCGCTAATCAGCTTCTTACATCGTTGAAGGCGTTCAGACAATGGATCGAGACCGATATCGGGCTTGGGTTAAGGCATCCTTTGGAGGAACAGGTTAACGTTGAGAATGAATCTTGACACAGCGAAATAATTAATGGAGCAGACGACGGATGAACAGTCGTAGAGGACAATCATTTACTACAAGTAATAGATACTCCTTGTTTGAGCAGCTTTGATGGATTAAATCTCCTCCCAGTTGCCATACTATTAATGGTTGATGCAGCTTTTCCACTCGGACAGTGTTCTAAAAACGACCGTACACCAGTCTCTAGTCACTCCAAGCAGGTACATTATCCAGCATCTAATACTCAGGCGGATCCTCGGAAAAATAACTGTCCCAGGCATCCTGCTCATCCTCAGGAGTACATAAGTAGCTGACCCAGGAAGTTACCGCCATCCAGGCATAATTATCAGCGTTACTCTCCGCTTTACCAGGCTGACCATCCTGGTCTGGATCGTTGAGGCCATGGGCGCGTTCCGGTCCATACGCATAGTCCCCATCCCGGTTCTTCTGGTCGACAATCTGTGAGTCTAGCTTAGAGGCCGGTCCAACTGTACTGTAGTGAAGTGTCTCATGTAGAGCGACGCGGGAAAACGTATCGATCTTGATGCTAGGGTATTTGTCGAGGCTGCTACACTGGATGTCTCCTCCACCAATTGGCTTATCATAGCCAAGATCGCAGAAATGGATCTTCTCGCGTTTATCCGTGTCCGTATCAGTGTAGGCCTCTGTCTCTTTGCCGTCACAACGTCCCTTAAAGTCTAGGTCTCTTAGTACATCAACCGTATCAGGAATAGCAGCACACTTACCGTTATTATCGACAATCATCGTCCCTACTATCTTTCCAATTTTTCCCTCGGTAGTGCTCTGGCCAGCGATACGGCTCAGAACGTCTTGGATCGTGGCTGGTATATCTTCCTCCGCGCTGAAGAAGACATCGTAGGCGACATTGGTGGACTTTTTACTGTCCTCCGCAGCCTGAACTCCCCACGCAGCAACGGCACGGAGCTCTCCATTACAGATGACATCGTGCAGTTTCTGAAGGTGAGCCTTATCAGCATCGCTGCCAGAGTCAAAGTTGAGATACTTCCACTCGTTTTCACAAGCATCACCAAGCGGAAAGGTGGAGGGTGAGGCAGCGGCTCTCACAACTTTGGAAGGAGATATTGGTTTGGCGTTGGCAATTGCCAGTGAGGTTGAAAAGAGGAGACCTTTGATGAAAGACATGATAATGATGAAAGTGTAGATTGTTGGATAGTATTCTTCTCTAGCAGTGATCTCTCTAGACTATTTATAATTCATGGCTCTGGTCGTATGATGCTAATCGAACAGATCCAATTGTCCGGTGTTTGATTCCAATGACTCGAACTTGCCATGGTATGCGCCGATATCTCTGGCTATGGCAGACCCAACACTTTCAAGATGAGGATCCCTACGTTACTACCTCACCTCCACCTCGATTTATCCCAGAACCAACAAAGTCAAAGCACAAGGCTTTAATGCCAATGCCCTGTTTCTTCTCAGTCCGAGCGATATCTTTTATTTCCCTATAGGAGCTTCAAACTCTAGGAACTAGAGCCGAAGTATGTATACAGAGAATGGTATCAACTTCACAAATCATTATACTGGGAAACCCAATTAGGACAGGAACTTGGAATTATGTGACTGAAGTTTTGTTTAGTCTCGAGCTTCTTCTTGCTTGGATGTTGTCAAGTCGTGATATCAGAATCCCTACGTAGCAGCGATCTCGATTCCAGCAGTGCTGAAGAATATTCCGACTGCGTTGGTTGGAGATTTGAGTGTTGGTTGGTTGCCAAGAGTTGACATGCAGTAGAGTTTCCGAGCGCGCTTTGAGCCTCTGACGATATTCCTTACTAACATAAATCTCCTGATTGCAGATCCTACCTTATTTCGGTAGACGGTGTTGTAATTCTGCGTTTCCTCAGAACCAACAACAGAACTTTTGCTTTGCGTTGTAGATGACTTACCCCATGAAGTAATTACCGAAGATGAGGGTCTTACTACACAGCCGTCGCAATAGCACAACTTCAAAAGAGTGACTTTCAGTTGCCTAGTATTTCTTGAGACATCACCTGCTCGCCTATGGTGGATTCCTGGATGCTGTGATGTAAGATCGACAGAGGCTTGTTCATTTGCAGATCATCGAGTGTGACTCATTAGCTGTCACAAACAACGTTCCAGTTTTATGCTCGGTCAAGTCCGAACTCATTGGACAGGCGAAGCATAGCATTGGGTCAGACGGGTTGATGGCGGCGGCTAGATGACGCAACGATGACCACAGCCCAAATTCCCGGAACTCAACATTTGCATCAACTCTTGCAAACCTACCACAGTAACCCTGAACCTGCAATTCCAACTCTCGCATTTGGATAGCTTTGTCTGTATTGTCGATTAGTATCCTGCCTTACGCCGAGAGACAAAGAACTTCCACTATGGCATCACTCAAGGTCTGGACCGTCATCAGCCGAAACTATCGAGTCTTCGACCAGTCAGGCAGACTTCCATTTACTATCATCTTCGGTATTTGCCGCCGCGACGATACGGACCCTCGACCACTACGTATCCATACAAAAGGAACTATCTTCGATGTCCCATACGCGCTGTCCAACGACCTTCTGCAATTGCGAGAGTATAACCCAAGAACGAAGCAATACGTACGACTCGATGTCGGGGAACTCGATAATATCGACAGTCCAGATCAATATTTCACTCTACTCTCCCCAGTTGGGAGAGCAGGGAATTGGAGAAACTGGATAACAGAATATCACTACCGTGTTGAGCCCAACAGTGAACTTGCTTCATTCTTCAAAGCAGGAAAAGAATATGCAGTTCAAAATGTATCCGGCTGGCAGCTTGGACCGAGCGCATACGATTTCGTCGACAAAAAAGAGCCGCGACAAACAGATCGATGTCAGTTGATTAGCCGTAGAGTCGATGGCCAGGCAATCTTTGAAGTCATGGAGTCTCTTCTGTGGCCACCAGAGTTACAAACCAAGATGCAGCTGAAGACAAGCGACAATGCTACCTGGCTTGCCATTTCTGTTACCAACATGGGATCTGAGCCTGTTAGCGTCCAGACACGCGGTCGTCAGAGTTTCCTCGTCCAACACGGCGCTTACGATGTTACGCCCGATGATAACCGTCCTAGGATCCTCGATGAGAATCCGGCGCCCGAAGAAACGATCCAGATACTCGACCTTTCTACAAACGGGATTGTGCAGGGACCGCGGAGCCCAGGTCTTTGCGGTGGAAGACTACCGCAACATGACTCAAGACCAGAATTGGATGTCCTAACGACCTTGAGACCCGGTGTGCCGCTTGTGAGGGATGTTGATGTAAGCAATTTCCTTTCTGAGCTTCCAGATGGACGTTATGGTTTAAAAATGGAGCCTAGGGGTATGTGGTGGTGCCTTGGCGACTGTGAAGAGTTCAGGAAGATATGTGAGGATGGTCGTGTGCCTCGGGACAGCTTCCAGATGATGATTCCACCTTTAATGCTAGAGTGTGACGATCTTGTGGAGGTTCGGGTTGAGAATGGAGTTGCCATGATGCAAAGCGCTGTATGATATCGAGACAATTAACAATAGTTTGCAATGCGATGATTTGTTATTATGTGTGATTGATCAAGAACGTATTAATGCTGCATAAGCGAGTCTCGTCTTCTGCGTGTTTCCGGAACTGCAGTGCTCCAATCAAATCCTACAGAGGTTGTTGTCTGGATTGCCCAGCGGGGCGAGTGAGACAATGGAGATGGGGGCAGTAACAAAGGTACTGGCTTCGTCACCTTGACCTGTGCGGCATAGAAGTAACTTGGATAGCGCCCAACCACTTACTTTATTTTGGCTGTCTCATCCACCGAGGAGAATTTCTCTGTTAAACACGTGCCATAACCGTGGAAATACTGACCTGGTGTTCAGTCTTCACGAGTGTGTGGATCATGCAACAGGCGGGAGCGATTTCGGGGGGTTGCTCGATACTGTGGAACTGGACCATCATAGCATTTGTTGTGCCTGCTATCTGAGACTAACTTCTGACCTGGCGCATCGCATGTCCCAAGAACACACCATCTCAACCCGGGGCGGCCCGTTGCTAGTGCCCTCTAATTAAACCTTGTTTGCTCACACCCCTCAACTCAGCTCATCCAGATAGTTAAGCCTCTCATTATAAGCACTCAGTAACTTCTTACAACCAAAACGGGCCAGCTTGAAACTATCAGGGATCTTGCCGGCTTCATCCCCCATATACGATGCAAGGACATGTACATTCCTTTCTATTTGGTCAAGCGCATTGTTGATGTTCTGAGCAACCATGCCAAGACAATCCAGTCGCTGAAGTACATGGGTAATTGTTCCGTGGCTCATCTTGGTCTGCGCGGCCTTTCTTTTAGGAACTGGGCTAGGGGTTCTGTGATACGATTTCAATCTGCATGGTTAGTACTCAACACCAGTTGTGATGAATCATTATGGACTTACACTCCAAGTAGGAACAGCTTCATACAAGTCATCTGCACGCGTGGCAGATTGGGATCATCATCGACCTTGACACGTTTTGCGGGAGGCAAGAGGGTGCAAGGTTGCTCATCCGCGTAAAGCTCCGATAACTTCCGCTTGACGGGAATACAGGAATCGGCAAAGGGAGGAGGCGAGCAAGAGGAATCTGATGAGCAGAAACTCACAGACTCCATTGTAGAAGTGATGGAGCCGATTGGGGAGAGTGGCTGAGATAGTATGTAAGAATTGTCCAAACAGTCCTTGCGCCCAAGATAGGGAAATACAGGTGAAACGTCAGACATGATAGAAGCCATTGTATAGATTGACATATCGTATTCATCTCTACGGCATATTGATGCCGTACTTATAACTCACGTTGACCATGATCCAAGGCTTTCGTGTGACGGAAGCCGCAGCAAATTTACCATCCAGGGCGAACGACGAACGAGCCCTATTCATCAGGCTTGATTGATGCTGCAGTAGTAGGTGGCCCCTTGCAGGCCGCAGTTTGCAGCGAGAAAAAGAAATGCTATCGACATATTGGGAAACAATTGTCTTTGACTCTGCTCTCATGGTCTAGCTAGTTGGAATCGAGTTACATTTGAGAGCGATTGTTCTGAGTGCCTTGAAGGGCAAAAAGTGAGATTGTGCACTATAATGTCATGGCGTGGAGAACTTCTCCAGTACGTGTTTCTCCCTGATATTACAGGGCCGTTATCTCTCTACTACATAGCCGGGCAGGGCTTCATCGGTGTGCCGCACGCGAGAAAGAGTACATTGGGGATTCATGTGGGCAATAGCCTAGACTTCCTGGACTGTACGGTAGTAAATGCCACGTGCCACAGGCCACAATGCAAAAGAAACGGGCGCGGTACGAACCTCGACATGATCAAGACGATCTGCAAACACAACAGCCTTCCTTCATCCAAATGCGTTTAGAATGGAGGAATAATTGCTATGCGATGATGTACAAGCCGCTGTGTTTGCATGTTACAGGACACCTGAAGCGGTGGAGCCAGGTTTAACCGCTTTGTTGCACAGATACGAATACGAGGTGTGGCTTGATTTTGAGGCCTTCTGCACTACGTCGCTTAGAAAATGGCTTTTCCTGGCCTTGGCGGCCATTGCAGATGATAGATTCCAATCGTGGGATATCTGCTCGATGACGCATTGCCGTCGGTCTAGCAAAATTTCTATCCATGGTCTGTGGAGTATGAGTTTTGGTCAATTGAGTAACTCACAGAGCACAGACAGATGGGTAGCACAATAAATGTGTTCTAAGCTCCAGGGTGTCAAATGGAATAAGCTGACCGCTGTTCTATGCTCGCTGAAACTGATGCTCTCGGCCACCAATCATTCTGACGACCTGACCCCATACTGACAGGAGATAACTAACGGTCCGATCCGTTGCAGCTGATGTCCAGCCTCAGCGCCATCTCCAACCAGCAAGACATACATCAAGCCACAGTGCCAGCTCATGTATACTCAGGAATACCTCATCTAAGGAGGAGACTGAGAGGGGGAAAGAGAAAAGTACCTTTGAGCCGGTTTGGAAGCGCCAGTATCCGCACAGGCTGGAACGCTGTCAGTGGGATAGGCTGGCAGAACTGGTATGTGGCTGGAACTGAAACATCGGGCTCGGGCTGTCGAGAGGCCGATGCAGCTTTAAGACATGCGTGGCCAAGTCTCCCCGTGAGCTGGCTGGCTGGGTATTCGATTGTGGACAGTCAGCGAACCCTCTGGAAACATCAATCAGCATAGAGAGGTGAGCCAGGGGCCCAGTCGTTGGTCATTGGGAGCTCGGAGGGATTGGGATAAGGATATTTTGATCCCGAATCGGACGGCTCCACTCTTTCTCTCACTTCCATCATCAAGCGTTTGTATCACTCAAGATCAGTTGGTTGAGGGTGTTGATTTTGATAACTACAAATAAAGCAATACATACAACTCATAGCTATTGATATGGTTACAACTCCTTTGCGGCTTTGCCGTTGCAAAACCTACCTTGGTGCATGACTTCTGGTAAGCCTTCAAGACCCTGAGACTTGGACCCAGGAGCAATGGCAGTCAGAGGTGAAAGGGTCAGCTTAATAAGCCAAACGCCGCTCCATTCTGATCAATCCTTGGTTGATTTTTGGAGGCATGCCTCGTGAGGCTTTTACGAAAGCGAAGATCCTCTATCCTTCCCAGGCACGTGCCCCTTCTTTTCTTCCTGTATGTAAACCCTCTTGGGCTCTTTGATTTGGAGTCTCTTCATCTGCTTCTCGTTCTTCTTCTCCTAGTTACTGCCATCATTCATTCCCTAGATTCACATATAACATACCTTGGAGCTCAACACCGGTCGTCCATTTTCAAAGGCGTTGGGTTCACCCAGAATAGTCTTGTACCAAATCCCAAGTGCCTCAATCGATTCAAAGTGGTACCTTCTGTCAAAAGTCCACTTTCCGCAAGCCTTGTTGACCATCTCGAACTGAACAATCTTGCGCCAAATGGATTTGATGCTGGTCTTGAGAGCGGGGACGATAATGCAGGCGATCGGTTTGAAGTCAAGGTTGCAAACCCCAAGAAGCATTCACATGATGAATTTGTCGTTGGTAATGATGGTGGCTGGGTTGTTGTCGCGCAATTGTTGGAGGAGGTGGTAGATAATGAAGCCGTGAATTTGAGCGCAGAAGTGGATTCTGGGCAGATATGTGTTTTCTTGCGAGGGAAGTAGATTTCGACGGGGACGTTACAGATCAACGTGACTGAGTTGGTTTCGCACATGATGTTGATTTGGTGTTGATGCTTGTTTGTAATTGTACAGAAGTATAACCACAAAAGATGGGATTTCAACAACGGGCTCCGTTACTATTTAACTCAGTTCATCTCATTCAAACGTCCTATAATTGCTTAAAAAGATAGGATCCGTCATAGATGGGCTATCAAAGACTTGGCAGGGCTGAACATGACATTCATGGTGAGTGAGCTGTGGCTGACTGAAATTCTTTGTCTGCTCACACTTGTCGATTTGATCCAAAATGATTCAACGTCTGGTCTTTCTACATCCCGTTTGTGCTAAGCGATTATTGCGAAGCGCCACAACCGCCACAACGTAGAAGGAACAATGCCCTCCACTTCATTCTTTCAGACTCTGCCTGCGGCTGTCTTGCATACATAGCTGAGCGTTTCCATTGCATACCATTCATTAATAGCTTTCTTTTGACAAGGAATGACTGATGAGAAAATGACTTTTGGGTTCTTTGTTGAGGCGTGCTAGCTTTTCATGTCTCCATATCGCATATCGGTGCTTTCAGGATGCACTATGATATTCCACCTGGCAGTCCATCGTATTTGGGGGTGAGAGGCGGTGTTTCGTCAATGATCTGCAAAAGAGAAAGGTGGGGGAAGTGTGTTCTTAAAAAAAACACCATATTCCCCGCTTGAACATAAGCTTAACATCCTCAACACTAATCGAAAATGTCCGAACAGTCATTTGATTCACAGCTTCAGTCCTCGTTTATTACGCGTTTTCCTCGTGAACTTCGCGACAAGGTATATCTCGAGCTATGGCGTTCTTGCGGCCTTCGCCAACACATCATTTGGCACCATGACAAGAATGACGTAACGAAATCTCACTTCTGCCGATGGCAATGTACGACGCCATTTGAAGTAGAAGATGGCCTTCAACAGGCCATAAATAAAACCAGGATGGAGCTTGGGGTTGCGTTGGGTGAGAGTTTCAGCAATGAGACCTATGCTCTGCAGCTATATTCTGCCTGGAAGAATCACTTTGCTTGCGGAGAACGCATCGGACAGGTATATGGTGACGATGCAAGCCCAGGCGTTACCATGTGTTCTTCTCCTACACCTTGCTGGAGTCAAACTTCGGAAGGGTCAGCGACATGGAGCCCCTATTTAAGTATGCTCTTAACATGCCGCACTATGTGAGACCAACATTCAAAACCACAGACATGTCGCTTATTCTTTGCCAGATCTTCAGAATGCATCCAGTCGATATATGAATCCACGACCTTTATCTTCACAGACATCGTTGCTCTAAACTTGTTTGTGGGTTTCTGTAAAGTGCCCGATCGCTGGAACCAAGATTGCCAAGTGGCTATTCCACCACCTGGATTTCGCACGTATGGCAGACATATCGAGCTATCGTTAGAGCCAGTCTTCCCCATGCTGTTGCCTTCTTCGTCTCCAATCATCACTCCGGAATTGCAAGAGCGACACAGTTCCTCTGACTTTCATGCATTACGACTGGATCTTTTACAGAACCTCACAGCCCTCAATGTCTGGATAGCTGCTCGCTCGACTGTATTGCTCCTTGACGAGAACGCCGACAACATGGACCAAAGTCCATATGACATCACACAGTTAGGCGTTGAGTCCATTAAAGAGGCGCTGGCACCCCTGAAGCAGGTCCAGAACATCACTCTAAGCATGCCTCTTGTTTCCGATACCGATATTGAAGACGACTATATAGTGGCTTGCGCTTCTGATAGCGAAGACGGTCATATAGTTGATGCCGCCCATCTAAGAATATGGCGTAGAGGTTCAGGCGATCGATTTCATCCAGCTCTATTACCAGTCTTTGAGGTGGACCACTTCAGCAGCAACGTTCATTCTACCGAAGAAAGGTACGTTCGACCTCTTTTTGCATACTGACACTGACGCTGACAATTTTTAGAAGCGTGAAGCTATCGTATAATCCAGGTTTGGTAACTCATGTTCGCTATGCTACTGAGCGCGATGTCAGTACAGTGTCGTCAGATCGCGGATTTTTATCTCGGTTGATGGAATCAATTTGGTCCAAAGGGAAATGGCTGAAAAAGAACGGAGAGCGCTAGAGACATCAGGGCAAAGTAATAACCGTAGGATACTCAAGCCCAATCTGACTTTCCATGTCTTCATCGATCACCTGGCATCACATTTGCCCTCCCTCCCACTCTTACATATAGCACAAAATGTCCAAATCACAAGAAGTAGATTCACTAGTCAATAGTGGTGTATTGCAATCTAACTACCTAGTACCCGCCCAGGCATCATTCAATCATTCCAGCGTAACCGTAAGCCTTAGCCTAAGCCGAAGCCGAAGCCGAAGCAGCAGAGACCTGGCTGGCAATGTTCTCGCAGAACTTGATAGCAGCGGTAATAGCAGCATTGAAGTCGGTGGAAGAAACGAATTTGCCGACAATGGCCAGAGCGCTTGAAGCCCAAGCGTTCAGGTCAAGCTTGCCAAGTGCGATCTTGAAGCCGCTGAGAAGAGATATGAAGATAGAAGCCCCAGGAATGGTCTGTGGATGTATTAGTATGTGCTTTATGTGTCTGGTTGGGGATGACTTACGGTGGTGATCTTGCCGATAGCCCACTCGATGCCGACATTAGCCTTGGCGTTGAGATCGACGGAGCCGAAGTATTCAGCAGTGACGTTGTAGCCATGGTTGATGAGCTTGTTGTAGTCTGTCTTTTGCTGGGATGCATTGGCGCCTGGGACAAGGCCCTTCACGCCACCGACAATGTTCTCGAGAACATCACGCTTCTCAACTCCCTCGGGAGTCTGGCTCTTCTCATCAGAGGTAGGGATGATAGAGTCAAAGAAAGAGGTAATGTCATCCTGTTCAGACAGTCAGTAGCTTCCTCGGTGTCTTGGATCGGTGAAATTACCTTGACATCCCTGGTCTCAGGGCTAGCCTGGACCTCGACGTTTCGGGTGGCAAGAGTGGAAGACAGGCCGCGGGCTATATGATGTTAGAACAAGCTTCAATGATAGTGAGGGCAGAACATACTGTTGGGAACAGAGGCAGCCATGGCAGTGCCAGAGGCAAGGATAGCAGAGAAGACAGTGAAGAACTTCATTTTGAGAAAAGGTAAGGGTATAAAGTAAAGAGGGAAAGAGAAGTAGATAAAGTCAAAGAGTGACAAAAAGTTTGTTGTTGAAGAGGTGGAAAGAATGTAATGGAATGATTGAATGATTGAATGAATGGATTGCTGTGAGAATAATTGATGAACTGGCGCAGAGGACCGAGTATTTATGTTTCCTGATTGTCAACTGAGGCTTGAGCTACCACGATGATCTCATCCGTTGTAATTCGGACCATGGGAAGGAAAACACGTTTCGCATAAGGCTGGCCCTTTGTTTGAAACAAACATCATAGCGATATCTGTCGCGCTATGGTAAGCGTAGCTGATGTAGATTATACTACTGCAAGATTTAAAGTCTGGTGTTTTACCTTGATGGAGAAAATCTTCGCAGTGCTGCGCTCGGTTGCACCGGGAACAATCATCTTGAGATGAAGTCGAAGATGCGCAGACTAGCATGTGGTCTATGCTTTGTTTTGCAGCCTTATCCGAAGAACAGTTGAAACGTTCGTCCATCACATGAACACGTGGGTCGATCCCTGCGTCATTAATTTGAGATGAATTATCTGTGTTGTGATATCAATTTGACGCTTAGGTCTTATATCCCAGACTACATTGTTTTACTCTGGTATATTGAGTGACATTACTGATAAACTGGGATCTGACTCATGTACTGCGAATTGACTTCATGTCCAGCCAAGTTTTGAACTTGGCAGCAACTGATAAAATGCTTCGAGGACTAAAGTCAAACTAAACGCTGTTAGTATTGCGGCAGACACCGATAGTGTCTCCTTGCAATTAGACTATAGAGTCGAAGTAGATGCAAGTGTAAACGGTGGATCTGCAGCTGCGTTTCGACCAAGTGGAGGAAACATCGGAGCGGCTCGTCCGGTCCACATTCCGGGGAAGGAAAGGTTGCAATGCCAACTGATGGGGACCTGTGAAATTAACGTTATCACGATCTGCAGCGTTACGTTTTTGTATTGGAAGCTCTAGGGTAAACTGTTCAATTGATCTTTAATGTCTGATGTAGACATGCAGTATAATCATCCATTTCACAGCTGTTGAGTTGAAATGTGATTCTGCAGCATCACATAGACAAGCGAAATAAAATTGTGTCAACGCGAATAACTGACGTCGATGTGTAATGCACATCTGGATTGCACGAGAAAGTAATAGATCAATAGTAGTGTTATTTGGAACAGGTGTTTGGCGGAGTATGACAGGGCAGATGACAATCGCAACGACACAGGAGCGCCTCACCTTTCACCGCATTTGTGTTCTATTGCCTGCCAGATATTGAAATGGGGAGGCTGGGATAGCGCGCTCTGATCGCGCGTTCTGTTGCAGGGATTAATTCACAGTGCTCACCTCCACTAACAATTTCCAGAGCGCAGACCTGTGCCGGTACAAGAAAGGACGGGAGCTAGTTTGGAGCGTGAAACAAGGGGACCCTGCTAGCCTCTCGGTCTTGACAAAGAACTGCGCTCTTCGCTTGTCTGCCTCGCCGGACAAGCCCTCCACTGAGATGTCTGAGCGCTTGAACGCTCCACTCTTGGTACTGGGCTGGGGAATTGCACTGTGCTGTTGGAGTAAGTTGACTTTGTAGGGTAGTTTCCGTAACAATATTTGGTGATTCTTGCAGGAGAACTGCATTCAGCTCAGCGTGTCATTTTGTCAGGCTTCGTATATCTACCATTGAATTAAGTTATAAGGGGTTTTACTTGTTGTATTGTAGACTTGAATGAAATAGTGCATCGCTCACCAAGGATGGCAATTTAGAACAAAAGTTGTATGTGATTAGCGCGGGACGATCAGCCATTTTCTCTTCGATAATCACTTCACTTACTCTTTTCCTTAACAGCTATCAGTTCTTCTTATCGATAACATGTTATCTTATCGATAAAGCGTTTTTCCTTATCCCCTATCGTCTGAAACTTATCTCACCAAAAGTAATTAATGATCTGAACATACCCAGTAATTGAAGCTTTAGTATGATGAAGACGTTGAAGACAAGGAAGCGTTGCAGTGAGGTGCTTCTAAGTGGATTATAGTAAGAGAGTTAATAAGAAGAGAAACTATCGGAAAGCTTTACTGCCGCGAGGGACTAATGGGGCGTTGAGACAGGCTAACTACACGCTCGAGCAACAGTAAATATATCCTTATGTGTATCCAACAAAATTCGCCTAGAGCATAGCGGCAAGAGCACAAGCAAGTCCACCAACAAGTCCGGCAGACTTAACCACCAATCCAGATCCAGCATTGTCGACGACATCGGTAGGGTAAGCAGCTGGGGGGAAAGTTCCATTGACCCGAGTATACGCTGATGCCATATAATCTATACCATTACTTCGGGTTTGAGTGGAGTAGACTACCATGGTAATATCGTCCGAGTTCAGGGTTGTTTCGGGGGCAGCAGTCGTCATAGGGATAGTGTTTTCAAGGGAGGTGATTGAGGACTCGACCGACGAGATCGCATCTTGCGTGTCGACAGTGGCAGTGGCGGAATTGACAGGGGTGTTGGTGATCTCAGCTGCGATAGGCAGAGCGAAGAGAAGTGCGGTAAGGGCGATTGATCGAGCCATTTTGAGTTGAACGAGTGTGATGATTTGCAGAAATACAGTAATGAGCGTTGAGTGACGATGATTCAAGAGGCTTACTACGCGTTGTTTTATACCTCGGAGTCAAGTAGGATTTGGGACATTGTGGGTCAATTGCGAGCTTGCATGTAGATTGTGATTGCTTCTTTGGAATGTAAGGTGGTTTGATTCTGATCCTTCTGTGCTATTTATGGGGTCTATGGGATGGATTGGGTTAGTAGAGAGGCTGAGATGCTAAGCGAGACGGGTATTATCTCGCTTCGGGCCAACGCCAAGGAGTCTAGACAGTCCTTTTGACCACAACGGCAGGACAATACCGAACACATCTATAATACACGATACACTGCGCAGTGTTTCAGACGGAACAGGCTCATCTCTAGTGACTGTTCTGGCTATGGTAACTCTACTAGCAGCAGCAGCACCTTCTCTGGTTTACTTGACGTTCTTACTTTTTATCCTAGGTGAACAAGCTGGTGTACTGGATATCCACAAATGAGACATTGAACAATAAGTTGTGGTCTATCTCCTTATTGTGCTTTGAGACAGTATAGCTCTTGTCCTGAAGAATAGGTACAATAGAATGAGAGAATATATAGTTTATTTGTTGAACTTCTACATTCCAGAACAAGACCATTTCAGTATGAACATCCTGTACTCGAGTTATATAAATACTCTGCCCCTCTCGCTAATTTTAAACTTCAGCAATCCCAACTCACCCAATAGGTATCTTACCAAGTCTCCACCAACAGCCGAAGCGCCCCCAAACAACTACTTCAGGCCGAAAGGAAATCATTCATCATGTCTTTCTTCGACAAAATCGTCAGCTATATCGTAGATATCTGCGTTGGCTACTGCATTAACTCATTCATCATCATTTACTCACTTTTCGTGGATCACATCAAGGCATCCGGCATCTATCACTCTATCGATAACAACATTCCGGATTTTGTGTGGGTAGCTATTGCTTACTTCAACGAGTTCCTTAGCAGCTATGGCTCACCGGCGCAGTACTGGCGCTACGTCGCATTCTTCACCATCCTCGGAGTCATTGTTATTTTTACTTGCAAGACTGTGTTCTCTGCAATTCGCTTTATCTGGCCGTATCTACTCGTCGCTCACATTGTGGCCTTCGCTGTTTTCTACAACGAGAGCCTCGACAAAACATGTCAGGATATGATGTCTGATACAGTCTGTAGACCCAATAGCTCACCTGTTGCCCATCGACATGTTTCTTTTGTTTTTGAATGTAGTTATACAATTCAGCCCTTACAGCTGAGGTAAGCCAGGATCTGCTATACCACTCATCGGTTTATTGTCTTTGGTCTTATTCCCTTTATAGTATCACTGGTCCGAGCTGTAACAATATTGGATGGGATAAACTGCGGTTCATTCTGAAGTTGTTTTAGGTCAGTAACCCTTCACCTTGTCGCCCATCAGCACATTTCCTTTGTGCCCTAGATAGCATTAACAAACAACCTTTGCGTTCTTTCGCCAGAGCAGTAAATATCTCGTTCACTGGTCACTTGTGCTGTCTAGGATACTGCAAAGACTGCAAAGATACAGTTAATGCCCCGCCTCTTAGTAGCAGTCTTCCAAAGACTACTGGCAAAGAGACGCTTTTGCAGCTTCCGGTAATCTGACAATCCCAAGTTGTTCCATTTCGTCGCTGAATCCAATCTGTTCTCCCCCAACAATTCTTCTATTCCTCCACTAATACGCCCGATTGAATTGCCACAAGCCGATGTTCATAATGATAGATATCAACATTACAGCCATCTGACAGCCTGTCGAGGCAGAGACTTTACATTTGCTAAAGGGTTCATTGCAGATAGTGTTGCTGAAGGCAGTCCACACTGGGACTAATAGAAGACGGTATCAAGTTACCTCTGTTCTGTTATCAAAACTGCTAGATCTGTCTTTAATAGATTCAGTACTATAGACGTCAATTTAGTCAGAAACCCGACAATCGCCGTCTTATTAATAGCCACCACCGGAATACCCACCACGGCCCCCGGAATACCCGCCACGGCCACCGCCACGGCCACCACCGGCATTTGCCATACTTACCCTAATCTGGCGACCTTCAAACCTAAGTATTAACCGGTAAGTAATAGATAACAGTAGAGCACGAGTTGCTACTTACTCCTGCTCATTCAGAGCATTGATTGCAGCCTCAGCCTCATCCTGGTTACTGAATGTAACAAAGCCAAAGCCTCTTGATCGCCCAGTCTCGCGGTCGCTCATTACGATCTGTTGATTGAGATTATTATTCCGCAAGTATCGTCGAAATTATATGACTAACCGAATCTAGAACTTCACCAAATTCTGAAAAGAGCTGTCGGAGGCTGTCGCTTGTTGAAGCCCAGGCAAGACCGCTATGTATTGTCAACAGAGGGATCTGAGAGTCATGCTAGGCTAGCACTTACCCAACAAATAGTTTACAGGACATGGCGACAATTTGATAAGCGAAATTGTAGGGTGTAGGGTGGTTGGTAGTTTTGGAAAGCTAGGAGAGTCAGGAGGAGAACTCTAAGACTTTATATAAAGCCTTTAAATCAAGCAAGGCATTGTCCTTTTTAGCTCCTCCTTACGTCACAGGCCTAATTGTTATCTGAACCGATAAAACAATATTTTCAATGGACGATACGATGTCTTAGCCAGGTCATCATTGATTAGATAATAAAAAGCACAATGACGATGTGGCTTATTCACTGGCCAGTTCTGGATACGTATATCACTCAGACTATACTGCTTCCGATTGCCTGGCTGGACTTTAACTTGGATTCCCAGAGTAAAGCTAAAGCAACTGGTCTCGTTGGCTAGGATGTCTCAGCACAGCTGCAGCTAACTGCCGATCTATTACCGTTCTCAGCGCGGCTGAAGCTCCCTGCTGATCTTCAGCAGATCATTCTGTCGATTCTGACCATGCAAATGTTTGAAGACTATCACAGGATGATTGATAACGCGTGTATGTGCTTTCACGAGCAATGTGCACAAGCAAGAGGAAAGATGCGTGGAAGGAAGAAAAAAAAAAAAAAAAAGCCGG